TCCTGCATTTGTTGTTGCGTTTGTGATAGAAGAGCCAGATCATCCGCGAAGTCTAGATCGTCAAGCTGCATTCTGCCTGTCCACTGTATCCCGTGCTTTCCTCCAGTCGTTGACGTCTTCATGATCCAGTCGATCACCAGGAGAAAGAGAAAGGGTGAGAGTAAGCAACCTTGCATTACACCAGTCTTTACTTCAAACGAGTCGGTGAGTTGTCCTCCATGGACGATTTGGCAGTTTAGTCCATCATAGGAGTTCCGTATGATATTGACTATTTTCTCAGGCACGCCGTAGTGTCGAAGAAGCCTCCATAGTGTCGTCCTGTCCACGCTATCAAATGCCTTTTCGTAGTCGATGAAGTTGATGTAGAGTAATGAATTCCATTCGATCGATTGTTCCACAATGATACGTAGAGTTGCGATTTGATCTGTGCACGATCTATCCTTACGAAATCCAGCTTGTTGATCTCGAAGTTGGGCGTTTACGGAATCCTTCATCCTGTTTAACAATACCCTGTTGAAGACTTTCCCTGGTATTGAGAGGAGAGTGATCATGCACCATTGAAATTGTATGCATTCAAAAAACTGCATATTTAATTTTGTTACAGTTTTTACGTTGTATACGTCTAGTTATATCTAACTATTCCATTTACAACTAACTAATTCAATCTTCAAATGAATTGAATAAATGAAACATACGAAACAAACGTAAAAATGTTTTTGTTTGGGTACATTTTAACTTGTCAACTGTATTATTTAATAGCAATATACCACCAAAATAAATTTGCTAGTTGTTCTTAGCTTGAAAGTTATGTAGAAAAAATAAGTTGAGACTTTTAATGCCTTATTATATGTATTATCATTTTTTTACTCCAAGTATTCACATGATTACTGTTTCTACGATAAAGACAAAAAGACAAATGGAAACAACACAATAATGTAAAGTATTTTCATGTGTTCTTGTTTTTTGTTCTTGAATGAAGTATTAAGTTAATCACAATGATTTTGTTTTTGAATCATACTAACATTATTTTAGTATTTTAATTGAGTTTATATCACAGCCTCGTTAGTTTTTCACTATTTGTAAATTCAGTGTTTGTCTTATAACGTTTTTACTATGAATGTTCCGCTTAATCAGAAGTTCTTTAATAAGACGTATTTATTATACTTAGGATAATGGTTGGCAACTGAATGTACTAGGTTTATTTCGTCAACTGAATATGCCATTGTTGATCCTCATATTAAGACTAAAAACCTAGTACTTATCATTTCAAACGTCAAAGTTATTCATAAGACTACTGAGTCTTGATAGCTGCTAATTTTGTTGGAGATATTGAATGATCTAGCCTAAAATTAGTCAGGGCGCAGTTGCGTTTGCTGTTTATCTTCCTTTAAATTATGAGTTAAGTATCATTGTTATTTGTTTATCATTTATTCCCTTAGAACTGCACTTTCCAAGTTATCATTTTTATGGTTTGGATATTGTTCTCCTCCCTACATTTTTCATTTTGTTTTTCTCTCACTATGCTGACATTAGGTATGGTAATCGGAAACAATGCAAACGCTCGACAGATTCTATCGTTGATAGTGGCCAACTGATCAAGTAACTTGTTCAACTCACATAATATTTACTGTTAGTTGTAAATGTTTATATTCTTCCGTCGTTTATTTTTAATACCGAATTCAATCAGTCTCTGTTAGCATCCATTTAAGGAAATTATATCCAAATGCAATTTAAAGCTTTATTATAAATAATATCCTCTAAGATGATGGAAAATATTTTAAGTTTAAGAAGTAGGTTTTGTAAGTGCTGTGCTCTTTGAGCTAAATTATTTGATTATAAAACTTTCAATGATTTTCTCAACAATATCATCAATATTATTGTTGTATATGTTAATATTGTTGAAGAAAACAATTAAAGCCTAACGATGTAATGATCTGGCCCAGAGAATACAACAACTTCACAATATCCTCCCAAAAAGCTTTTATGTTGAAATATGAATTTTCAATCTAAAATATAATGTAGATGGTCTTTGTCGAAATATTATAATCCTTTCACAGATCCACTCTGTATGTAGCGCATGGTTTTTAAATCATTACTTCAGCTATGAGTGATGACTGCTCGAACAATTATGGGGAAAATATCAATACTCCTTCATTACTTTGTACAAGATTATCTGTAAATTAATGCTACAATCAGTATAACAAGATATGAATCAATGACTGATTCTTCATATCGTTTTAATCACCTTAAATGCAGTGAGTAAATTTATTTCAGTGAACCTAGATCATAACTCACAGTTACGGAATTCAAAATCAACAGTTTATGTTACATACTAAGGTTCATAATGAAGTTGCTTTGTTTGAATGATTCATGTGAACCCATCAGAATATGAACTTCCTTTGAAAAGCTAAACAATCAGCCGTAAACAACTTAAGAGCCTAGTCTTAATATCCTTTGGCCTAAATTACCATACCTCATCCATACAAGATAAAATTGGTGGGATGAATACTAGTGTAGTGCAAGTAGTAGTAGTGCCAGTGGTAGTAAAAAATGATCAGACATAAATAATAAGATTCGCGAAGAAAGAACAGAGTCGTAAAGTAAAATGTGTAAAATATTTTTAAACTCATTGCTTAAGAGTAAGGGAGCAGTGAATGCATCTGCTCCATTGCGACTACTTTTGAACCGTGTCGCCTAACGTCTCAGACAACAATTCAAGACAGTCGTGTGGATTCCTCCAGGTAATCTACATTTACCAACACGTCTCACATCAACACTTAATGAATTATTGTCTTGGATTAGGGCCCCCTAGCTTGGCAATTTGGTGAGCCACTATACGTGTTTTCATGTCGAACAATCATTTTTTCTCCTTGTAGGCAACCTTTCAGCACATGACAAACAATATCAGTCGATATGAGTTGTCAGAGCACAAATATTTGTAGTATTTGTTGAAAATCAATAGGAGTTTTTTGTTTAGGTGTTTTTAGAAGGCAGAGTAAATTGACCAGTTACACATACTCATCTGTATACAAAGGTTCATATCGGTATAACAGTTGTTCATAATCAGAGTACGATGCACAACATTTCATATCAGCACAGCTAGAAAGAAAATCAACAACAAATGAAGCGATGGGTAAGAGTTAATTCAAACCGCAATGGAAATCCAAATAAAAGATGCAGATTAGATCAAAGAACGGAAAGGCAATAACGATTACCTTCAATATGTAAGGGGGAATGTATAGAAAATTTAACTGGGCTAATGCAATAGACGTTGGTCCATATTACTGATTGTCTCCTTCCATTGACTACAACTGTTGAATCGGATCCAGTCAGGAAGTCTATGCATATGGCTGCCAATGGGTTGATGAATTAATGGACTATATCAACCTGCTAACCCTCAGACAGGCGACAGTCTTAAGATATCCATTCACTATCATAGTCATATTCAAAAATATTATTATTCAGTTTCTACATACTCCTCCTTCTTTTCATTACCTTAATCTAGCATTATTTTCATTATCCTTGGTATATGACGTTCTACTTTAGGTATTGTTGTGTTCTCCGAACTAGATGGTTTAATTATGGATCATTCATTATCATTTTGGATAACATATTCAATGACTACATTATGTAGAAATGAGATTTGTAGATATTATACAATTATTTATTATATCGATTCATTCTAATGACTTTATTTGTGATTGGCTGTCTTCGGTAAATTGACGTTATTCACTACTATTAATATGTTTTTATTCGGTTTCAGATGGAAGACAATATGAATAAATGCAGAATCTTTTCTTATTGTCTTTACAAATAACAATTTATGTATGGAATCAACGAATATTTTTGTGATGTCATTAATGTAATTCAAAAAAAAGAATATGTATACTGTTAGTTGTAAGTAACTGAAAGTGTTACTGGAATGAATCAAATCCCAGTTCGATGTGATCATATGAAGAGTAACAATTTTCTACGTATTACGAAAACATTAAAGGTATATACTTGTTATTGACAATTGAAGTTTATTTTTTTATTCCAAAAAAAATTCTTTTGCTTAATTAATAATTGTCTGATGAAAAAGACTGATTACAATCATTATCGACAGGGCTGTTAACGTAAATAAATTTAGCTAACAAATTAATTTTTATTATGTATAATAAATTTCTAAGTGTATCATTTAATTTTCTATCTGGTTTTTTAAAATTAGTTGGAGCTGGAAAACTGAAAAGAGTTATGTGCGAATACTACTGAACTGTCTGATTCATGTTTTGATAGCATTTACGAGGTTATGCCGTAGATCCTAAGGGATTTAAACCTGAATCTGCTTTAAAAAGTAGAGCCTTCCAGTGTTTACAATGTATGGTGAGGGATATGTGCTCAAAAACAGTTCGTTAGATCCCATTCTTTATTACTCCTCTGACTTTATCGAATTATATTCCTACATTTTCTAAACTGTTTCCATAATCTTTATTATTATTATTATTATTATAAATGATTTTTCCAGTGAGGATTCTTCATCATCATTCGTACTACACTCTTCCCTATGAAGCTCTAGGTCGCTCACATTTGTATTTTGCTTACCATGATGATTATTAATTTTCATGTTTCATAAATCCCTTATTCCATAAATATTTTTTTAGGACTTTGTTTTCAATTTTCTGATAACAACCCATATTCTAACAAACACTATATATATAGTACAGTTTTAAAGACGAACTAGCTGAAACTAGTTCCTATACTGAACCACTTGTTCTATTTAGAACCCACTCTGGTTACTCTTATTTTCCTGTATCATACATTGATACACCTAGCTTCACGATATCACCCTAGGATATACATTTGGCTGCATCCAGCATTACTGTACTAGATATATTATGATATAGCACCTTAAGAAACAAGTATTCCAACTAATGTAGCTTACCTAAGCTATCATGATAAATCAGCATGACCGCAGAACGAACTAAGCAACTATGGTTGGTATTTTGAAATGTAGATTCGAATCAATCTTTCACTTAGTATTTAACTAAGAATTTAACAAATTTGTAACTAAAGTACATGTTTATCAGACACATTTTATAATCAATCAGTTTATAAGCTTACACTCAGTTGCATAATCCGGATAGTTTTGTGACTATTGGCTTGACCATTAGAGAAAATGTTAAACATAATGAAGCACAAAATAATACAATACAATAAAGGAGTTTGACGGTATAAAATAACAAAGATATATCAACATGTTGAATTATGCCACCTAAGGTCTTTGACAATTTATTTGTTCGATCCTACAGATCTGATTCAAAAAACCTAAATCATTCAAGAAGGTTAATTCAAAATCTGAGGATTTCAAAATTTACAGGAACACTGTTTAAATCATTTGGCTACCAAAATTATTGCGTAAATGAGAGTATAAAACTAATTTCAAATAGAGGAAATCTAACTTTCTAAATAAATCCAAGCAATTCTGTTTTGTATATTTAATGTCATCAGTAATTCTTTGGGGATGACATGAATTCAGTTGACAAATCGTCTGAAATACAAAAATAATTTTTAGTTAGCATCTCACATTCATCTTCCCCATAGTCATCACCATCACGTTCTACTTTTTCATAAGGTAACTTTAAACATAAATGTGGCAATTTGATATCAGGTAATTTCCTTTGTTTCATAGGTAAAGGTAGCAGACATGACGACATTATTGGTATGAACCAATGAACTATTGAATTCGATCTTTTTTCTTCATTATAAATTAGTGAACATAAGAATTTATGATAATCATCTAAATCTTTACTATCCATTTCATTGACAATGGAAGGTATAATATGTTTCGAAATATTTTCTTTCTTTAAATTAATTACTTTCACTTGTAGTGTTTGAATTTGTGAAAGCTTTTGTTTTAAAGTTTCTTTAAAAGGTTGATGTTCATCAAATGGTAAAAGATTACATTCTGTTGGTTTTATGTGTATTTTTGGAGGGAAATGTCCTGTTAATACATTTTTATATGATTTCCATGGTTGCGCATATGAAGGCTGAGTTGGATCACGTAAACTTTGACTTTTCATAATATCTCCATGTTTTGTTTGTCGTACATTTTTAATCCATGGTTGAAGAATATTCTCCGTTTTCTGTTAGATAAAAAAGTAGTTTTAAGGATGAGATTTAAACAAAGAACTTTTTAAAGTTTATTCATATCACTCTTTTTAATCTTGGTAAATAAACCTCAAATCTAGTTGGTAAAAAAAGGAGAAATATGGATTTTAACGAATGGGTTGGCAAATGATCATCAAAGAAAATATCTTTGTGACTCCTGATCAAACTATATCAATAAACAGTGCCATATGCCAGTAGACTGAATGATAACAAAGTGAATCACATTTACTAGTAAACATAAAAAGCTTGGAAGCTTTAACTCTAAATTTTATTTTTTTTTGAGGTTAAGCTTATAAATAAAGCGTTAAATTACACAAGGTTGGTTGGTATTACAATGAGTACCACCAGTTTCGAATTATTATTTATGTCATAAGGTATGGTAAGACAGTGGAAGGGTTGAATTTCTAAATCATATGAGAAGTTATTTATACGACATTATTTCAGTGGCTTATGTCAATACTATCGGGTTTCATTTTTATAATCATGGAAAACTACAAGATTTTTGGAAACATGAGTATTTTTATCTCAATAACTTTTCAGCTAATTTAACCTTTATTCAATGACAAAATTACTTCCAAGAATTACAAATATCTTGGTTACCTTTCGATAGTTGAATCGTATAGTAGGAACTCCGTGATTGATAGGTCATCATTTCATCCGATCTCCTTAAGTATAGGATTTTACCTGTTTTTGTTGTTAACTTAACTGTTCCAACAAGCGAAGAAATTCTCAATAGCACGTCGATAATTTTCTATTTGCAGTCAATAAATGAATGTTTGTTAGTGAAGTTACTAGTTTCAGGAAGTTGAATAATTTGACAAATATTTTTATTGTTAAGTAACACAAGCTGAATGATCACTATTTCTCATTGAAAACAGTTGATACTAGCAACTTTTGAATATTGACCAATTCAATATCTTCCGACTTGACTTACTCTTCAATGAAGTGATTACTTGTTAGTCATAATGTATCATCAGTTGTCTGTATTCGGTATTATTCGGTAGAGAATCTTTTGACCAAGTTGATGACTGGTACCAATTTTGGTTTTGTAATTAAGTTGGATAAATAGTTCTCTTTCGCTTACTTTTATCATTTTCTCTTTCTGTTTGAAAATTTACATTCATTGGGTAGTTTACAATCATAGAATGATTGTAGTGAGACAACCGTTTGTAAGTTAGGAAGCATCGGACATCTGTTTCGTCACTATATGGGCACCTCAGAAGTACACATTTGCTATGACAGAATTTCTGCTCATCTTTACTTACGTTTTTAATTCAATGGAATGATTACTCAGTGTGATATTTGTTTTATTTTTAGTGTAATTTTTATTCAAGATGATACTTTTTGTGTTAATTTATTGTGAAATTCGTTCAGCATGATGTGTAGCTCAGGTTTTTGTAGAAAATATGCTTTTTCCCTGAGTAGTATAGTTAAGGAGTATTGTTTATATGTTTCTTAAATGAAAATATACTTGATTTCATAGAAATCAGCCAGTAACAGTTATGACTTAGATGTGGTAAATGGCGAACAATCATGGCAAATAGTGTGAGATTGCGTAGATTGTTGAATTGCATTGAAATCATGAACCGATCTAAGTTAGAAAACCATTGAAAACCTTAAAATATTGAATGGCGATCTCATCCTAGTATGGGAATTCTCAACAGTGCTTATCTGCGATCCGGTACATGGGAATAAAACCCAGAACCTTCAGTCTAACGCGTGAACACTCAACATTTAGACCAGTGAGTCGGCACCTAACGGTGTTATTGCTCAACTTCAATCAACCCACTAAATTGCGCGACCATCGTTCATTATCTTCAGTGGGTAACTGCCTCACAATTCACACAGATTGACTGCACTAGTTGCAGCTTCTCAACTGAACCTAGGAAATTTCCCCTCGAAGATGGTCACTAGTGAGCACATTTGTCTCAACCATACTCAACAGTATGACCAATATTATATTTTAAAAGGAAATAGAATAATTTTAAAGCTTGTTCAGCATTGTGTAGGTAGGAAAATAAAACATCACTTATGAAAAATCAAGAATATGGACAAAATGTTTAAATAAACTAAAGACATGAAAAATTTAGGATAATTACACTGCTGAAGAGTCCCATAATAGGACGAGACAGCCGTCCAGTTCTTCCAGGTTTTCCATAGTGGTCTAGCTTCAACTGACTCATGATCTCAACTCTATAGAATTACTAAAATCACCACAAAACCCCTTCTGATAACGCCATTCCTGATTTATTCAACAAAACTCTACATTGAAATAGACATTTTCATGTACTTAACACCAATTATTGAATATAATTTTTGTTTGTTTGCTTTTAATCATTATTCCTCATATGAAATATATTAAAGGCATTTTGCATTCTTATGAATTAGTAGTCAATCTTTTTTCGTAAAGAATTTGTATGATTAGTTTGCTTTACTAAAAATAACATGATATAAATCCAATTTATTAACTGTAGGATAACAGCCAATTTTCTAATGTCAGTGTTTTACTCATATATTTATGATTTATTCACTTGGATTATTGTCATTTCTTAAGTTATCAAGTTATAGGTTTCAAATATGTGGAGGTTGACATGTTGATGAGTAACTAAACATCTTAAATTTATTGATGGATACCTAGACTTACTCAACATATAACATGTAATTTAGTAATATGCTAACATTGTATGTTAAAATATAAGAAAACATTTTATTTAATGTCTGTCAACTAACTGGTATACATTGCATGATAATAAATAGAGATAATTAACATTGAAAAGAATTTAAGTATGGGATCAATAAAATGGTGGAAAGTTGTTTTGTCAGTATACATGTTTGTAATGAATGGAATTTGTAGACTACAAAGAGTAAAATCAGTTATATAACCATTGTGTTATACAAACATCAGTTATAGATATTTTAAAGTTGGGCTATGGGTGAAAAGAAGCAGTCTATACAATTCCAGCTGAATTTGATGAAAACTTCTATATCATTCAATAAAATATTAGTTAGTAGAATTAGCATACATCACTTGTGTTTGACCAAATAATTAAAATTCCAACACTTGAAACTGACGTTATGTGTACGAGTGAAATAATTTTAAAAAGTTATGTAACGGATCTTACAATGATTTTTGCCTTGACATTTGCATCAGATCCTCCTTGTTTATCAATGATACCGCTCAGATACATGAAGCTTACCAACTCTTCCATAGCTTCTCTATCAAGCGTGGTTTCGTTGGTGCTCGTTGTGTTGTATTTTAGGGTCTTACTTTTTCCCTTGTGTATGTTGAAGCCTACTGGTGCAGAAGATGCTGATACACTATCTGTGCTCACCTGCATTTGTTGGTGTGTATGGGATAGAAGAGCTAGGTCATCTGGGTAGTCTAGATCGTCCAGCTGTATCCGTGCTGTCGATTGTGTTCGGTGCTTCCTCTGAGATGTGGACGTCTTCATAACTCAATCGATCACCAGAAGGAAGAGAAAGGACGAGAGTGGGTGGCCTTTCCTAACACTGGTCTCCACTCGGAATGTATTTGTGGGTTTTTCAACTGTGATCAGTAATGTTGCGATTCGGTTGGTACACGGTCGATCATTACGGAATCCAACCTGTTGATCTCAAAGTTGAGCGTCTACCGAATCTTTCATTCGATTCAAAAACACTGTGTTGAAAGCTTTTCTCGGTACCGTTAGTTGCGTGATGCCACTGTAGTTCTCACAGTTGTTCAGATCTCCTTTCTTTGGTATCTTGATGAGGTGTCCTTCTATTCAGTCTGTCGGCACTTGTTCTTTCTTCCGAATCTTTCTGAATAGGATGTGAAGCATTTTTGCAGTTACTTCAATGTCTGACTTTATTGCTTCAGATGGTATGTTGTCTGATCCTACTGGTTTTCCACCCTTGATTTGTCCGATCGACTTTCTGGTTACTTCAATGGTTGGTGGGGTGGCATCTATAGAGAGATATGAAGGCACTGCTTTGATGTTCAGTGAGTTCGGTGTGTCTGGTCTATTCGAGAATTCTTCAGTGTTCCACCCACCTGTTGTGATTGGCTTTCCTTCTTTTCCTTTGACTGGTCTCTATGGTTTGCTATATCTCCCTGCTAGATTCTTCGTTGTATCATGTGGTTGTCTCATATTTCATCCTCTTGCAGTGTTTTCCACCATCATTGCTAGTTCTTACACGTATTTCTGCTTGTCCGCTTTAATGCTCCTCTTCAATATCTTGTTTGGTTCTGTGTAGTCTGCTTGTGCCTCGACTTTCTCTGCTCGTGTTCGACTGCAGTTAATTGCTGTCTTGTTGTTCTTCCTCTTTGGACTCTTGTCCAAGGTTTCCATAGAGATCCACTCCTTATGATGGTGTTTGTTGCGGCTCAGCACCACCTTAAACGTTGAAGTTGGTGCTTCATTGACCTCTTTCCAGTTGTCCTCCATTGTGATTTCTTCTTCTCTCAGCAGATCTTGTAAGGCTTGGAACCTGTTGTTGAGAGTTATCTTGAATTCGTTCAGTTTGTTAGTATCTTGAAGGGAGGCTGTATTGGACGTTTGTACTGCTGTTTCCCCGGTTGTCCAGTGTTTATTTAGCTTCAGTTTCATCTCGGCCACAATCCGATGGTGATTTGAAGCTATCTCAGCTGTTCTTCTGATTCTCACGTCTTCCATTGTCCTTCTGAATTTTTTATTGATACAAATATGATCAATCGGGTTCTTCGTGGTGTGATCCGGTGAGACTCACGTGCCTATATGCATACGTTTGTCGGGAAATATAGTGCCATCTATAACCATTTTATTGAATGTACATAAATTGGCAAATCTCTTTCCATTCCCGTTCCTTTCTCTCAGTCCATGTTGTCCCATGATATCTCTATACATAATGCTATCCATTCCGACTGTGGCATTTAGGCGTTCCATCAGGATTGTCAGGTCTTTTTCTGAGCACATCTCTATGATCAACTACAGACACTCATAGAACTGATCTTTATCGTCTTCATTGCCATAATTGATGGGTGCATAACACTGGATAACATTCATTGTGATTCCTTCCTTCTTTGTTTTGAAATGTGATTTGATGATCCTAGATTCATGAGATTCCTATCCAAAAAGTGTTTCTCGTGCTTTCATTTACATCATTAGTGTAATCCTCCTCATTTACCCGGACATGGAAGTAGGATTAAACCCAGAAGAGCTACAGGTTTAATTGCACAAATAATGCGGCTGTAAATTTTAAAAAAAATGGATTCATTGAAAAATTACTTGATCAATATGATTCTTTTTTTGTCAACGTTAACTACGTTGTTATTATTAATACAATATAGAAATTGTATATTGTCAAACCAAACCTTTTACTGAATCATTAAATTACTTCGCACCAATTATTAGATCACAGGTTCAAAGTTAGCTTTACCTATGTTAGTTTTGTTAACTAGGTAGTAGTATTATTTGTCTTTACATCTAAAGTGTGGTTCAAACACAACTATATTAACATATGCACTTATTAAGTGGATTGCACTAAGTAAAGGAGTATAGATTTATTGTATTTAGTAAATAGGATATACTGCTTCTTAGTTAATAGACATAACTTACACAACATTTACGTCTTTCAGTTACATATGATTCACCTAAACGCACAACACATCTTTCTAATTCATTCAATGGTGGTAATAGCATAACCACTTTATGCTGTTGAATATCGTCATCATTGTTAACATTTTTCATTTGAATGACAGTTTCTTTTTCGGTCTCATTAATATGTTGTTTCAATTTATCAATATGTAATTGTTCTGCTTTAGCTTGTTCACGCAATTTCAATAATCTTTGTTCATGACACCAATTAACAAACGTATTTAAAGCTTGTATACCATCGTTTGTAATAAATTCTTCACGAACCTCATTGGCATTTTTTGACCATTTCACTTCTCTATTTATAGATTTAATTTTAATTGTTGAATTATTTGTTGTATGTAGGATACTTTTTAATTGATTTCCGAGTTTGGGAGATTTATTCTAGATGAATAATACAAGGTAGAAATTCATTGATCATTTGAAATAATAAGAAACTGTTTAATGAATTGAATAGCTTTAATTAATGCATTTTTAAAGATATTAGATCCCATAGACTGGATATTTTAACCATTGTTGTAACAGTAGAAAATTACTTGATTTGCAACTAACATAATGAGTTGAAACCTTAAAGTTATTGTTAATTTGTAATAAATTCATGTACCTCAATGATTCAAAGAGTTGTTTGCTAGCGGAAATGAAAACACTCTAATAAGTAATTATTGATACGCAATAGCTGCTGAATACGCTAATGGCCATCATGATTCAATAGCTGGGTTAAAAATACATTGACTTTTAAAGTGATGAGTAGTGGTTTCGAGTTTAAATGTCAACATTTCAGAATAGGTTTAACCAGCTGACGAGTTCTGAATAGGATGAAACATGAGTCTTCTATTTTACTGCTAATCATAATGCTGTATTCAATTTCATAATTATCATAAACTATTAGTGATCATCTGTAGATTATAAGAAATCTATACAAATTCATGTTCTGTTTTCTATCCAAAGATTTTTACGAACACGAGAAAGTAACGTGATGAGAAAAGTTTGTAGACTTTTTTCAAGTTGTAAGCAAACTGATAGAAAAAATATTAAAAGTGAATGAAAAATTATAATTAGTTGAATTCAATGCAACTAACTTTAATGTGGACCACCTAAAGATAATAATCAATTGAACACTTAAATAGCTATTTTAATGACTAAGTTTTCTTGAGTCAATCTGTCTGCAGCAGATTTTATTCAGTATCTGTAGATCACTTATAATGAAATCGTCAATCACGGAGCTATATAGACAGTTTGCGTAAATTGAAAAATAATGATACAATGTATTCTGCACCAAAACCTAATCAATCATTCGATGACAAATTGAACCGATGTACATATGCCCCGGGTTCTATGTTACGTTTGAATAACCGGCTGGTATGTTTTAAACAAGTCAGACGATTAAAATATTCATATGTTATACTAAAAGTGAGCCAGATCGAAATTCAGTAAACGATTATATTTATATATTCAACCTATAACAATCATTCAGGTTTTTTATTTTAGTAATAACAGTCATCCACGAAATCTATAAAGTAATTCATTTGTCATAAACATGTTTTAAATCAAAGTATTCTAATGTTGAGTGGATACATATTCCGGTGATTCCGATATCAGGATGATTTCATTAAACGATGTCTGATTTAGATTTTCAATCAAAAGTTATCTGAAGCAGAAATAACTGTCCGTACCTTTCTACGGTTACTGACGGTCACAAGCCCCAGTAAAAGAGGAGAGTTGAGCATGGCATCAGCATCCCCATCTCATAGAAAAACACCTTGCTAAATGACGCTAAACAGATTAAAATAATTAGACCATTTAAACTCGGTCCTCCGAGTATAAGAAAGAATTATGACGCCTCATGATGAAACCCGAGATTTTCCGGACGTCACGAGGCTGATGCCCCTTCGAACAACCAGAGAAACAATTCATGTAGGTACATGGAATGTCAGAACAATGTGAGAAACCGGAAGAACCAGTCAAATAGCTACGGGAGTGAGAAGATACAACATGGCGGTGCTCGGAATCAGCGAAAAACTTCTAACCTAAGATGGACTGAAAAGATATGTAAAAATGATTTTGTGGCCTGGTCATTAAAATGAAAACGTTTTGTAGGCACAACGAGTTGCATTGATCGTGGTAATAAAAGCACGAAAAACACTTTTTGGATAGGAATCTCATGAATCTAGGATCATCAAATCACATTTCAAAACAAAGAAGGAAGGAATCACAATGAATGTTATCCAGTGTTATGCACCCATCAATTATGGCAATGAAGACGATAAAGATCAGTTCTATGAGTGTCTGTAGTTGATCATAGAGATGTGCTCAGAAAAAGACCTGACAATCCTGATGGAACGCCTAAATGCCACAGTCGGAATGGATAGCATTATGTATAGAGATATCATGGGACAACATGGACTGAGAGAAAGGAACGGGAATGGAAAGAGATTTGCCAATTTATGTACATTCAATAAAATGGTTATAGATGGCACTATATTTCCCGACAAACGTATGCATATAGGCACGTGAGTCTCACCGGATCACACCACGAAGAACCCGATTGATCATATTTGTATCAATAAAAAATTCAGAAGGACAATGGAAGACGTGAGAATCAGAAGAACAGCTGAGATAGCTTCAAATCACCATCGGATTGTGGCCGAGATGAAACTGAAGCTAAATAAACACTGGACAACCGGGGAAACAGCAGTACAAACGTCCAATACAGCCTCCCTTCAAGATACTAACAAACTGAACGAATTCAAGATAACTCTCAACAACAGGTTCCAAGCCTTACAAGATCTGCTGAGAGAAGAAGAAATCACAATGGAGGACAACTGGAAAGAGGTCAATGAAGCACCAACTTCAACGTTTAAGGTGGTGCTGAGCCGCAACAAACACCATCATAAGGAGTGGATCTCTATGGAAACCTTGGACAAGAGTCCAAAGAGGAAGAACAACAAGACAGCAATTAACTGCAGTCGAACACGAGCAGAGAAAGTCGAGGCACAAGCAGACTACACAGAACCAAACAAGATATTGAAGAGGAGCATTAAAGCGGACAAGCAGAAATACGTGTAAGAACTAGCAATGATGGTGGAAAACACTGCAAGAGGATGAAATATGAGACAACCACATGATACAACGAAGAATCTAGCAGGGAGATATAGCAAACCATAGAGACCAGTCAAAGGAAAAGAAGGAAAGCCAATCACAACAGGTGGGTGGAACACTGAAGAATTCTCGAATAGACCAGACACACCGAACTCACTGAACATCAAAGCAGTGCCTTCATATCTCTCTATAGATGCCACCCCACCAACCATTGAAGTAACCAGAAAGTCGATCGGACAAATCAAGGGTGGAAAACCAGTAGGATCAGACAACATACCATCTGAAGCAATAAAGTCAGACATTGAAGTAACTGCAAAAATGCTTCACATCCTATTCAGAAAGATTCGGAAGAAAGAACAAGTGCCGACAGACTGAATAGAAGGACACCTCATCAAGATACCAAAGAAAGGAGATCTGAACAACTGTGAGAACTACAGTGGCATCACGCAACTAACGGTACCGAGAAAAGCTTTCAACACAGTGTTTTTGAATCGAATGAAAGATTCGGTAGACGCTCAACTTTGAGATCAACAGGTTGGATTCCGTAATGATCGACCGTGTACCAACCGAATCGCAACATTACTGATCACAGTTGAAAAACCCACAAATACATTCCGAGTGGAGACCAGTGTTAGGAAAGGCCACCCACTCTCGTCCTTTCTCTTCCTTCTGGTGATCGATTGAGTTATGAAGACGTCCACATCTCAGAGGAAGCACCGAACACAATCGACAGCACGGATACAGCTGGACGATCTAGACTACCCAGATGACCTAGCTCTTCTATCCCATACACACCAACAAATACAGGTGAGCGCAGATAGTGTATCAGCATCTTCTGCACCAGTAGGCTTCAACATACACAAGGGAAAAAGTAAGATCCTGAAATACAACACAACGAGCACCAACGAAACCACGCTTGATAGAGAAGCTATGGAAGAGTTGGTAAGCTTCATGTATCTGAGCGGTATCATTGATAAACAAGGAGGATCTGATGCGAATGTCAATGCAAGGATCAGAAGAGCAAGATCAGCATTTCTACATTTGAACAACATAGGACACTGAAAGCAATTGTTAGCCAACGTCAAAATCAGAATCTTCAATTCGAACGTCAGGAATATATTATTGTATGGAGCTGAAACTTGGAGAACTACTACAACCATCATCGAAAGTGTACAATTATTTGTGAAAAATCGTCATGCAATCAATTGATTTGATTATCTGTCGACAGAAATGTTGTGTTGATCCGAGTTCAGAGGTCATTTTCATCGTTTAAGAACAGGCCTTAAGTGATAACCCTCATTGTTTTGTTTGAAAAACATGAGTCTGGTCAACAAATTTCATTAATGTCCATCAATCTAAGCGTGAATTACCACACGAAAGTCTACAAGCTGAAATGGCTGGGGTCTAGTTTTGGGATGCAGGGCATGCGTTTCTTCCTATTTGTGATCCGTCAGCTGGATGTACCATCATCTAGGAGTTAGTGTTCACTCCGGACCTCGAACCTAGTTGTTCGTTTCAAACGCCATCGCGTTTATAACACTAGAGAAATAGATAACGCGATGGCGTTTGAAGCTTACTGTACTGGGGTCGAGTTCCAGAATGAACACCAACTCCTAGATGATGGTACATCCGGCTGACAAGTCCCAATTAGGACAAAACGCGAGCCGTGGATCCCACTTCTAGCCACCATCCATATCTGATTATAGTACTTGTGATTAGAGGCAATATCGAGGTAATCCGCATAGGATGCACATTTACTAATAAGATACTGATCAATTCCAGTTCGAAACTTCAATAGGAAGATTAAAACAACTGACACAAAATGAATGAACGGAAAACTGTGTTTGAACGTGCTCAAGTTTCAACAAACCTTCGATGTTATTTCATTGCTTTTTCTGAACCAATTCTCAAGCCACACAGATAATAATCTGTAAAATTTAATCCAGCAGTTCAGTGTTTCAATGTTTTTCACCAAATGAATACAATCATGTAGGTGGAAAACTTCTTTTGGTGGATTAATTTTCACATTTCTTTCGATATTTTCTAGTTTACTTAGCTCTTCTTCAAGATAATTACAGTATTTAATTTGAAATCCAAGGGACTCTAATGAATGATGAATATAGTGTGTTAAATTAGCATTTTTTATTTCTTCTGGATAGTGTGGATCATCTTTCTCAGTGGTCAGTAGGACTTTCACATACAAAATTAATAAGATAACTACTGTATCAATATCATGGAAACCAAATGTAATCAAAAGTGTGATCACTGCTTCCAACATTTTCCATCCTTTGAATTCTATTGTTTTTCCCAATTCATTAATTATGCATCCTGTCAGGCAATGATGTAGTTTGGGGATGTACTTGACAGATAACTGATGATCTGTGAACAGTGTTTTAAAATCTGTACAAAATTGTGAAATAGTCTGACAATGATACGGATCTTCATCCTCTATGCATGGTGAAGTTGCTTGTGAGCATAGTTTTGGTATAATATTTGTCCAAAACAGCCACTGAATAAAGCAGTCAAGGTTGGAACCTGCATTAAAGTCAGACCATCCTTCAGGTTCTTGACCATTTAGTAATCCCATAACAGACAACCATCTGGAATTTCTAAAACTTTGCAAGAACTCAGGCAGTAAAAATATGTCGATTTTCCCTGGAGAATCTGTATTTGTGAGTTCTGTCAAGAAAATAGTATTTTCTCGTTCGTATTTTGGACGACCAGGTGCTTGTCTTTCAATTAAATTAGACAATAAATCTGTTTCCTTCAAATAAGATTGCTTAAGATCAGTTTTGGCTATTACATTACGTTTCTTTGACGACGGTGTTGACTTTTCAGTTATAGACATTTGACTTCGTTCCATTTCAGTACTTATTTCATTTTGCAACGTTGATAAACTAACTATAGGATCCATTGATTTGTCTATATCCACAAATCTACTTGCAAGCAACTTTTTATCTGTATTCTCATCTATTATATCCCCGTCACTCATTTCTTTACTGAACATTGTTAATTCTTTGTCTGATTCCACTATCCAACCTATACTAGAGTTCGAAGTTAGTGTACTTTCCAATCCGTTAATACTTGACCTATCTGATCTTGCTTCAACGTCAGCCCAGTTGAATTCATTCATATTTTTTTTATCATCTACTCCTGAGTGAGATAATCTTGAATAATATTTGCCAAGAAGTAAAGAATTAGGCGCCCAGCCATACTTTGAACGTCCACTTTCAAGTAGAATTGCTCTTGGAAAAAATCCATTTGTTCTTTGACTAATAAGTAAATCGGACTCTTTATTATCAGTAATTACCGGTAACTTAATCGTCTCTTGATGTTTTACTAAAGAAAGATCTTCACTTGATTGTGGCAATTTTTGCTTTTTACCAGTTTTATGGTATTTTGTAAGTTTTTGTTTACTTGTTTTTACTAGTCTCTTCTTGACTGATGCTTCAATTTGAATTTGTGAATACGTTTGCTCCGTAGTTAACAATCGCTCTTTTAATAAAGTGATTTCTTCATCCTCTTCATTGTTTAATTCTTTCGAGTATGAAGTTAAGTTAAAACACTGTCTAGATAATATCTTTTCATAGTAATTGTTAAAAGCGATTCGTCTAGCCTCTTGCATTGAAGCGTAATCAATATAGCAACGGCGTTTTGAAAGAGTCTTTGCAAATTTGATTTGTGATATTTCCTTTAAATCTATATCTCTTTCTTTGAGTTTAGTAAAAATTTTTGATTTCTCAGATAAATTTTGTGCTGTTAGCTTTTCTTCAAGTGAATGGTCTACTGGTTCGCGAATGTTGCAAACCTATTCAAAGTTTGAAAAAAACATACACAACAGTTTATGATTACGCATAAAACTAGAAATTAACTAATAAACAGTAGAACTGTTGTTTGGTGCACTGAAATAAGTATTTAAAAATTTAAAAATCTCTCATCATCATTGATAAAAATAGAATTATTTACATAATTCGGTGTAAATAAAAATAATTTCACTTCTCTAGTATACTAGTCATGTGAGTCATTTTAGTGATCAGAAGATTGGAGTGAATGCAACTCAGTCACTTCTAGGATCGATCATGAGTTAGTATTACTGTGAATATATAAATAAAAACAGGAAGATTATTTATTAGTCTAGGATCTTCAGTAACTGCGCCCTTTTTACGTCAAATTGGAATTTTTCAGTGAATCCTACTTTCTACTTATTTCGGTGAAAGACTAAAACAATTTAGTTTTTTAAAAGTGATTGTTAGTTAAGTGTAACAAAGAAGGCAGAATTTAACTGTCAACAATAAATAAACCAAATTTTCAGAGTAACGTGAAATCACATTGTTTCAAAACTTTGCACCAACAACAAAAATATTTGATTATATAATCAGAATAGATAACTCCGAGAAATTCTCCAGTGTTTTACTCATATGTTTATGATTTATTCACTTGGATTATTGTCATTTCTTAAGTTATCAAGTTATAGGTTTCAAATATGTGGAGGTTGACATGTTGATGAGTAACTAAACATCTTAAATTTATTGATGGATACCTAGACTTACTCAACATATAACATGTAATTTAGTAATATGCTAACATTGTATGTTAAAATATAAGAAAACATTTTATTTAATGTCTGTCAACTAACTGGTATACATTGCATGATAATAAATAGAGATAATTAACATTGAAAAGAATTTAAGTATGGGATCAATAAAATGGTGGAAAGTTGTTTTGTCAGTATACATGTTTGTAATGAATGGAATTTGTAGACTACAAAGAGTAAAATCAGTTATATAACCATTGTGTTATACAAACATCAGTTATAGATATTTTAAAGTTGGGCTATGGGTGAAAAGAAGCAGTCTATACAATTCCAGCTGAATTTGATGAAAACTTCTATATCATTCAATAAAATATTAGTTAGTAGAATTAGCATACATCACTTGTGTTTGACCAAATAATTAAAATTCCAACACTTGAAACTGACGTTATGTGTACGAGTGAAATAATTTTAAAAAGTTATGTAACGGATCTTACAATGATTTTTGCCTTGACATTTGCATCAGATCCTCCTTGTTTATCAATGATACCGCTCAGATACATGAAGCTTACCAACTCTTCCATAGCTTCTCTATCAAGCGTGGTTTCGTTGGTGCTCGTTGTGTTGTATTTTAGGGTCTTACTTTTTCCCTTGTGTATGTTGAAGCCTACTGGTGCAGAAGATGCTGATACACTATCTGTGCTCACCTGCATTTGTTGGTGTGTATGGGATAGAAGAGCTAGGTCATCTGGGTAGTCTAGATCGTCCAGCTGTATCCGTGCTGTCGATTGTGTTCGGTGCTTCCTCTGAGATGTGGACGTCTTCATAACTCAATCGATCACCAGAAGGAAGAGAAAGGACGAGAGTGGGTGGCCTTTCCTAACACTGGTCTCCACTCGGAATGTATTTGTGGGTTTTTCAACTGTGATCAGTAATGTTGCGATTCGGTTGGTACACGGTCGATCATTACGGAATCCAACCTGTTGATCTCAAAGTTGAGCGTCTACCGAATCTTTCATTCGATTCAAAAACACTGTGTTGAAAGCTTTTCTCGGTACCGTTAGTTGCGTGATGCCACTGTAGTTCTCACAGTTGTTCAGATCTCCTTTCTTTGGTATCTTGATGAGGTGTCCTTCTATTCAGTCTGTCGGCACTTGTTCTTTCTTCCGAATCTTTCTGAATAGTATGTGAAGCATTGTTATAATCGAGAGATTTTGAATTTTTGTATATACTTGGTATCTCAGGAATAACTTATTTTCATCAAGAAGTTTTAGATGAGGACGAACGCATGTACGGTGTTTGGTATTCAAATGCAAAACTGTCATCAGTACATGGGAATCATTGGTTCATTCAGACACTATGTCCTACTCAGCTCAAATTGGAGTAGAATCTTCTGTAATCGATTCTGCGTCTTTTTTTGAGTTCATCTTTCGTCTGTCCCACTGTATTGGATGTAGATTCTGAATTATGTAGAATGCACTTGGGAGTATTACAATTATTAACCCAAATTGGAGAAGACTTACTTAATTCCCGGAATTGTATACAATCATCATGTCGGTTGTATAGTGAAACCACTGATATTTAGAATTTGCATTATGGATTTTCCAACACTACCCTCTCAAATCTCACGCTTCGATTAGTCTATGTGAGTATTTCGGGATGCACACTGATTTATAATTTGAGGTATGCCATCATGTGAATTCGCCTTGCATAAAAATTGTGATAAATATTGCTTTTGTTATTCATATTAGAATACATAGATAGACATGCATTGATATGTTTAAATAACATATGTGATTCATCTAGGCTTGATTCACCTGAGAAACAATCGAATGGTAACATGCATCTGTCTCACACTCATTAGGATAATCTTGGACTTGATTTGAATTTTCTTCCTGTGCAAACTCCATATGTGGGCAAACTGGTTCTCTGATTGCTTCAAGAAAACTTGTTATTCCCTCTGATTCATCATACCACTGACTGGGGATTCTGTTCGACAAACATTGTTCGTGAGAATATCCAACATCTGATACAATAGCATCAGAAATATGACTAGAATACGACTCATTCGGAACATATTTGTCACATTCATTAGAGATATCTCTAAAAGTAATTCCATGGTGACGATGAATAACATTTAATAAAATATCAGAATTTAATTTTTCTGAAATACTTTCATCAAATTTATCAAGAATTTCACTAAAGAATAATGGGTCATTAGGAAGACCAGCATCTACCAAAACTGAATCCAGTTTTTGATCATGATTTGACTCATTTAACATATTATTCTCAGAGTTTTCAGAACTTTCATCAGACATATGTGAATCATTATGACAAACCACATCTGGTACAGTAACACGAGTAATATGACAAGAAGTTGGTTGATCAGTAACATTTGTCTCACAGTGATTCTAGGTTTTGTTCAACTCTGGACTGATCTGTGACGTTATACCGCTTCTAGAAGTCTTGAATAAAGATAAGTGATCATTAGAAGCTGATATGTCTTGTAGGTTGAACGCTATATTCAGATCCTAAGCTATTTGGATAACCCAGGGCTAGCACTACTCTGCGACTTGAACACCAGAGAGAAAACACGAGTATCAGAGAAACACTTTACTGCAAGGTTCATTCTTGTACAGAAAATCATAGGTATTTATAGATGTTAGCATATGTTAAATCAACATCCTAATTAAGGCAATCCATTTAACGACATATTTGCTACCGACCAATAGTAGCATGCCACGTTGGAACTCTAGAATGTTCTATCGCACCCTGATTGTCTGGGGCTCTTTTTGAGCCTCTGCAGGCTCTGTTGGAGTTTTCCGGAAGCCAACTCAACAGAAACATCTGACTTGGTACAATCACTAATTGTAGTATTAGTTTCGGCGAAATGAATCATGGTATTGGAAACTGACTGAATGTGTCCAGTTTTATCATATTTAAAGCATTTAGAATTACGAAATACACACGAATTACATAGGTAAAACTTGTCATAGAACAAGCATTTATCAAACTTGTGCTCATCTTCGTGAACTTTTACACAACTCAATGAATTGTTATCTCAATAACCTTGATTACATATTGAACTGGGACGACGTAGTAAAGTAGTAGAGTTCCCGGTGTCCTAACGAATCATTTTTTGAATCTTTTCTCTTTTACTGCTTTCGAAATTTGAATACTTTACATGTTCCAGAAGTAGTTGCTTGACAATTGGATAAGGGGGTGAAACCGGCTTGTCTGGAAACGCCAAAGTCTGTATTAGGCTGTATGCTTCTTTTCCGATGAATGTAAAGAAATAGGCCACAATATTAAAATTCTCATCATCTTCAATGTTCATAGCCCAGATTTCAAAACTTTCGACTGAGGATGGTGAGAGGGAGACTGTAGATGCGATATGCCATTTTCACTGCAAAACTGTTTAAAAACAGATGACATGAACTGAGTGCCGTTGTTGGTTACTAAGATCTCTGGAAACTTAAAACAAGCTAACGGTCCTGACAATCTTACTGTACTCTCTGATGCCGTTTTCGGCATGTCATATACTTCGGGTCATTCGGTGAACGCATCGACAACAACCAAGTAATTTCTGCCTTGTATTGGACCGACTATATCAGCGTGTATTTTTTGCCAAGGACCGTCTGGTTTCGGCCATAATTGTTGTTCAGCCTTAGTTGGGCTCTTAGCTGCCTCTAAACAGGACGAACAACTGCGACATTATTGTTCTATATCATAATTCATTGGCGGCCAATATGCATAGCTCCGAGCTAAGGACTTAATTTTGCTTATCCCCGGGTGCCCGCTATGGAACCGCTTAAGGACTTGTTGTCAAAGATTTCTGGATATAACAATACGATGGTCAAACTTAATGCAGGGATCGACACATGTCAAAGAATCTCATCGACAGAAATATTGTAAGAGCTCTCCACGTAGTCTAGATGAATGTCACTTTTTGAGTATGCAGCGGCAAATAACCTTCAACGCATTATCCTTATCACTATTTTCTTTAATGACTTCGAACGTGACCGGATGTCCGGATACTGTGTACACCTCAGCCTCAACATCTGCGGCAGCTACAAGCACCTCCTCTTCTTGTTGACATGGGAACTAAATAATCTTGAGAGGGCATTTGCCTGTCCAAAGTCCGTTGTTGGTTGATACTTCATCTTGAAATCATGGCCCATCAGTGTAGTCGCCCATCTCTATAGAAGTTTTGCTGTATATATAGGGATACCTTTCTTGGATCCAAAAACTCAGTAGAGATTTTGGGTCTGTTATTAAGGTGAAAGGTCTATCACACAGCATCTTACGAAATTTCCTTTCTGTCATAATCAGTGATCGTGTAGCATGGGCGATTGACTTATCAGATCCGTCAGGGTAGGTATGTGAAATTACTGCTCCGATTCCGTAGTTTGACGCATTTGCTGCGATTATAATTGGAAGATCTGGATCATAGTGTGTAAGCGGAAGGTTTGATGGTAAGAGCTGTTTTAGCTTTAGGAATGCTTCTTGCTATTCGGTTGACCCGAACCATTTGGTATCCTTTTCCAGTAACTTATTATTATGAGCACCGAGGAGATGAAGATGTAGGAGAAAAACGCCATAATGACTAACCATTCTCAAGAAAGAACGTAAAGTTGATACATCAGTCGGTGTAGGCATTGACTTGATAGCCTCGACGTTTTCAGAATCAGGTTTTCTTCCGTTTTTATCGATTATGAATCTCAAATAGCGGACTTGCTTCATGTAGAAATCACACTTTTCAGCACGCAATGTGAATGCATAATCTACTATGCATCTAAGATCCGTATCCAACTTCCCTAAGTCAGCATAGTCTGTACTCATGGTTAGTATGTCATCGAAATAGGCCGCAATACAAGAAATATATATACAATATATACAATATATATAATTAGGGTAACATGGTGGTTGGAGGTGGTCAACAGGAAACCCTGGACCCGGGTTTCGTGCTACTTGGCACTCGTCAGCAAAGTGTACCTGTAATCTTGAGGGAATTGATGCTCCCTGGCGGATTCGATCCCGCGTCACTCAGCTTCACAGTCAGAGACGTTACCACTGAGCTATTCGGGCCGCAATATATATAAGCAATATATATATATATATATATATATATAAGCAATATATATAAGCATAACATGCATAACATGCATAACTTGTTGGAAAATTGAAGGGGCAGTCTTTAATCCAAACGGAAGTCTGTTGTGTCGGAACGACCCTTTATGAGTGTTTATTGTCAAGTAGTGCTTACACTCCTTCACTACTGGAATCTTTAGATAAGCTTCTGATAGGTCCAGTTTTGCAAAATACTTCCCCACCATCGGTTTCGCAAGTACGTCTTCTGGTAACGGCAAAGGGTACTGATGAGCCTCAAGTGCTTCATTTATTCCAGTAGAGAAACCTGCGCATAGCCAGATACTTCCATTAGGCTTTTAAACAATAAGTGTTGGTGCTACTAAATGGGGAAAGCTCACATTCGTGGTTTACTAAACCGGTATGTTCCACCCAGTCATCATCACCTGCTTTTGTTATCTTGAGACACTGATAACGATTATTAAACAAGGATAACTTTTCAGCAGAGATTTGCGACAAAATATCAACCGTTTTATCAAAAAAATCTTTTTGATTCATTCAAAGAATGAAATTACAGAAGCGTTCATGTTAAGCCGTGCTAAGCTTTCTGGGGGTATTCTGACCTTGGCGGCGTAATCAAGTTTTCTGAGTTCGACCTTTAACAAATCGTATTTCTTGAATCACGATTCAAACGTGATGTCAGCCGAACCATCGAAGTTAAATTCATGGATAGAATTATTATTCTGGTCGACATGAGATTAGAAAGATTTATCTGTAACTTCATTTTGTTGTTGGGTTAGGTTTTCTATAATACGAACCTGGAACTTTTTGAAACTTTTTTGATGCTTCATCAAGGCTTCAAATTGTTCAAAGATAAATGACATCTGGATAAGATAACTCCGTCGTCAGTTATTATGTCTGGAACATAGATTCTGGTATATCGCGTATAACTTGAGCACTCGAATGCTAGAACCTTCCCAAGTCGCAAAATGAGAAGACAGAATGCAAATGTAAGAAATCTTATTCCAAACAGAGTCAATTATGGTGAAAAAGACTGTCAGGTATTTATAGTTATTAGTTAAAACGAAATCATCATTATAATTATCCAATCCACGGGTATTATCATTTGTCCAGTAGGGAAACCACATGTAATGATTCTGGAATATTCTTCCAAAATCTGATTAGATGGAATACGTTCGGCTCCTTCTGGGTTTCTTAGACTTTCCTCAAGTTCACCTGTTGATCGTCCTCACAAACAGAAACTGCGAAAGTTTAGATATTTCCCAGTCCTGATCGGCTTTAGATAAACTGATCGTTTTATAATTCTTTCCTCTCTTGATTCAAAAGTATATTTGGAAGCGGTAATCAGTCATTGTTTTCTTCTTTATAAATAAGTAGAATATGGTTCTGTGCACTATTAAGTCTATTTTATTATCCAATCACACAGAAATACCTATCAAGTATGACTAGTATATCATCCATTTACCTCCTATACGGGGTTTACATACCTGGTCAGTACAGTCGTCATATTTTTAGCAGTTTGGGATGTACATAAGCTAAGGGAGGTTCCAAAACAGTGGACATAATAATATCATCAACTTGTCAAAAATGTTCATCTTTAAAATGAATTTTGTCAGTAGATAATGAAAGTGGTACTTTCAATTATATTGCTTCGGAAGAATAAAAGAGGAAAATCTTCGTTTTTCGTTAATCTCATTTCCTATACGTTTTCCGTTTTTTTTAATACAGTTCCCCCATCACTGGGTTTTTCATGAATTCTAAGTGAAATAGTCTGATGGTTTCATCTGATGCGTTTCATATTATTTCTGTGAGAAAATAGCTAGCCCTTGTGTTCTTCAAGCACGAAAGCGTAAGAAAACTTTTAGTTTCACAATTACCAAATCTTTATTATCTACACTATGGCAAATTTGTATTAGCATTCATCGATATACAATAACGATTATCTTAGCATATGCCATTATGTTACCCATAGATTGAATGAAATAATCATTATACTCCATCACTGCCTGTGAACTTCTTTCCTATGAAAAACAGTTCAGTCAACTCTGATAAAAAAGTTTTTTGACCTTGAAGCGTTTACCAAAATTTAGTGTGAATATGTTTGTTTTCATTAACGTTGAATTACTGTACTATCAGTTGGAAATTATGTGCTAAGATCAGTTCATTAGAACAACAACATTATTTTATGAGGAAGGTCAGCTAAACTAGCACTGGTAAATTATAATCAACCCCTATTGAATAAGCTATATAATCATTTGAGTAATAATTTTTTATGGTTTCTCAAATGTCTATGTCATCTAATGAACATCGATCCTTTCATTAATAATACACGCAAACTTCAATAACACATTTTTAATATTTTTTTACATTGTTCAGCTATAAAAATATAGGCTACGTGATAGACCGACTAGAGCAGTAAAGAGAACGTTTAGTGCAAGTAACATCTGTCTATCGTACTCAACTCAATCTATGGTGATTCCTCAACTAAAGGATAAGTTGCCTGGTTATGCCACTTCCTCGTATACCTACGAATTCAGCTGCTCATGTGGAGAAAGCTATATTTGGCGCATTACCAGAGAACTGAGCCAAAGAATTAGTAAACACCTCCCTTCGTCGTTAGGAAAGGGTATCGTCAAAGCAATACGCAACTCTGTTCTATTACACTTGATCGATAGCGGTCAAGTAGTAAACAGAAATAAGTCATTTAAAGTGATTTATCATATTCTTACTAGTTTTCCTTATGGCGTTCGATCTCGTTCTTTACACATAGCAGAAGCTATAGGAATTCGATCCAACAATCGAAGTCTTTGTGTTCGTAAGAAATTTGTAACACCTTTATCTCTCCCTTGGCCTTAAAAAATGATGTTATTTATCATTGCTTTCCATACTCTTTCCTCGTTTATTTCTCTTCATCCCCTCCTATCATTTTCTTTCTCTCCAATATACGTTTTACGGTCCAATTATCTAAACATTTCTTATTACGTAGTCTTATAATTTTTACGAATGTTATTTCAGTGTCTATATTTTTCTAATCATTGACCTGTTTCTCATTATGTAACATTGATTCAAGCCTTTATTATTCTTATCACAACTAGTACACCTGTCATCACACTACCAATTTGTACTTTTCACTTATTATGTTTATTTATGTAATCTATTCCACTGTTATCATTGACTCATAAACTGCCTTGACTGGTTTAATAATTTAGTATTCACATGTAAAATTACTGTATATTAGAAAGAAGCCTGATGAGGATCTAATCGAAAACAATATTGTTAGCTTGTATATGTTGTTCTAAATCACAATATAAGAATTTCCCATATTTTGTAAACTCTTAAACGTTACATAAATACTTCTGACTAGTCTGTATTAGTGTGGGATTTCATGAACTATCAGACATTCAAATGAACTCTCGAATAATCTATTCGATGTTTTTTGTCTTATAGTTTGCATACATGCACACTGTTTATGTCGGAAATAAACTGTTCGATAAAATATCATTTTCGATTTCCTAATATTGAGCTGTCAAGTAGTGGAAGACTTCAGAAAGAGTTTAGCTTCAGAAGATAATACGAGCTTTAACTTGAAGTTTGTATGATTGATGTTAGTTTGCATTTAAAGTAATTATTACGCTACAGAATGCCTATTTATATAAGTCAGAAACTGAACAAAGCAAAATGTAGCCAGCTTTTGAATAGATCATCAGTAACATTTATTGAACATTCATTATCAATAGAAAGAAAGACTTACCAAAGACAAAGTTACATCATTCATTTTTCTTAATCCATCTATATTCCATTCTCTCTTTCTTACAACATTTTGTAATATATGTGTAATCATCTTATTTTCAATAAATCGATTCATTAAATTTAATAAATAAGATCTTAATCGAAAATACTTATTCAATGTTTTATAGTGAAGTAAATATATAGTATTATTGATTGTCAATAAAATATCACCATTTGATGGAATACTGACTATTCTACAAACAGCTTTAGAGATTCTTGATCCGGTTGGATATGGTAATCTAAGTGTATTTATCAATTGTAGACCACATTTTAAACTGACGATATCAGTGTCTCCACTATCAACTAACATTTGTAAACGCTGCAGTGTTTTTATAGATGTTCGTTTCAAACCGTTAGAGTTTCTGAAATGATATTCATTTCCCATATTGTAATCAAATATTGTTTGCCATACTTTTAAGTAAAGGCCTTCTTGCTCAAGAGGATCAGTGGTTATTGTTAAAAATATTTGTTCAATCATGGGCGTTTTTTCAAAATGTTTATTTAATATGCTTATATTTGTTGAGCCAATACAAATATCTTTAACCAAAGTTGTATTCTCATGATTTAAATAAGCTGAATCAAAATAACGTGTTGTTATGAAATCGAACATAGAATAAATATCACCTGGATTAGTCACTTCAGCACAGATTGCATTGTAATAGCAAGAATTAGTTACACAATTAACATCAGTTTTTCCTACTTCGGGTAGTGAATAATTCTTAGCTGTATAAATACAATAGATGTCAGTATTATTAATAATTTTAAATGGAAAACGTGTGAAATATACACGTAAATTTGATTTATCCCTTTGAAAAATATCCAGTTTTTGTATTTGTATGCCAATTGGTAAAGGTGTTATCAATTGCCATACTTTTAATGTTCCATCTAAGGTAATGGTGTATAATCTCCCAAATATCGGATTTGATTTAATCGACGATATATGTTGTTTCTGATCAACTTCTGGAAGATTGTCTGATTTTCAAAGTAAACAAAAATGAGTTATTAACTTGCATGAGTGATGGGTCTGTCATTTAGAAAACAAATGAAAGTCAAGGAGATCTCGATAATTATTTTGTTTTAGTTTTCAATTGCTTATCAATGTACATCCTAGCTTTTATTCGGGACTATGAACAGGATAAATTTTGGTGGTAACGAGTTTTATAAGCAGGATAGTCTAGTCATGAAGCCTTTATTTTTTTATAGACATCAGCACTGATGTAAGCGAAGATATATTGTGAAGTTTGACAGTGAATTGGTGTTTGTGCAGAAGATGAACAGTGTAACTCTTTTACCTGATGTAAAGTTTCTTTCGGCCGCAGCTTATTTTTACCCAAATTTTGATCCGATGATGTTATTTAGGAAGATAGTGAGGGCTTCACGATCAAACCGTTCGGCTGAGGGAACTCAATTTTACCGAAATCATCCTCTTAAGCTACAAATATGCACCGCCTCAGGATAAGCTTTATAACAAATAACATATCATTCAGATAGTAAGTTAGTCTCCTATTCTCTACGATACCTAGATACATTCATATATTTTGTAATTACAACTGTAAGATCATCATTAGCCGATATTTTATTTGGTAAATCTCTCAACATAAATATATCGAATTCGTGCAGTGAAATTTTAGTTCAACTTCATAAAATAAAAAAGTCCACACTTTGGAAATTTGTATGTTCTATGCTAAATACTTTAATCTCATTTCTCCTGGCTATCCAGATATTAATGATCACACTTCTGGAGAAAAGTTTGTATCGTGTTTGGACATTGGATGATTTGAAGGTTTAAATAGTAGAGCATAATCGCGTTACTTATAAACTTCAAGTAATATAGCATTTGACACAAAATGTTTTTTCTTTGGAAATAATTCGCATAAGTTTTTTGCCCCCAAATGCCCTGGTACGGCCGAGAGTGGGGAGAGTCTACTTTCCCTCTCGAAATGCTCTCACATGGCCAGCGAATATATAGCCTCTGCCAGGGAAGTCCTACTCACTGCCTTCTCGTGGCGGGAGTGTTGTTTACGAAAGTGAGAGGACGAAAGGCGAATGTCCGGCGCTATAACCGGATTGGTGGACACGGAGGGTCCACCTAGGGGAGTTGGAAAACCCTGATTCCAAACCAATGGTGCACATGGGCTCCAGTATCCTGATGGAACGAATGGCGGAAGAACCTGCTGTTGGTCAACGGCAACCATGGGACTGCATCTCCTCACGATGCTCCACTGCCTTGTGGATCAGACCTTTAGGTCAAAGGCTCGGGGTGTGGTCCCCTAAGAAAACCACCTGCTTCGGTTTGGGCACCCGGGCAGTATCACAGCCCACACACAAACAAATGAATGAAATTATGAACTCTATTGACGATATCCCTGGTCATACTAAAAGCAAGACAATTAACATTATTATTATTATTACCTTTATTATTATTATTATTACTTACCATATCGCTAATTCACCCCCTTTTATCCCCAATTTGTGTAACCTTACTCTTCAACTTATGCAGCAGCTCGCTCTTGGTGGAAAATCTGTCCTATCTAAACGATCTCCAGTCACTGTCTGGTTGAAAGTGAATGCTTCCACCGATTATGAATACTGAGGCAGTCTTTCTGAAACCACGTACGCTGTTCAAACTGGCTTCCTTCAACGTTCGCACACTAATGCAGATCAGACAACAGATAGGGCTGGCTATGTCGTTGGAAGGTCTTAATGTTGACGTTTGTTGTCTATCCGAGACCCGTATTCAAGACTCTAGTGAAGTACTACAAGTCCGCTCTCCATCTGTCGCCTCGAAAAGCTTGTTCCACGTGCACTTATCCGGGGACCCTGTGGCATCTTCGTCTGGTCTTGCTGGCGTTGGTGTCGCACTAAGCGCTAGAGCTGAGGCAGCACTAATCGATTGGATCCCCATTAACAGTCGGTTATGTGCTGTTAGATTAGAAAGTTTCATCAAAGTGAGAAGAAATCGGCGTGAGAAACGGTGTCTTTTCGTCATCTCCGCCTATGCCCCGACAGATTGCAGCCCGGATGCAATCAAGGATGAGTTTTACCATCAGTTAACAGTTCTTCTCCAGAAAGCGCGTTCGACAGATATTGTAGTACTAGCCGGAGACTTGAATGCACAGGTCGGGCGTCTAGGCACAGAAGAGAGTCGTCTAGGTGGCCGATGGGGACTTGTTGGTCGCTGGACAGATAACGGGGACCGTTTGCTGCAACTGTGCACAGACCACAACCTGTTTCTGGCTAGCACTAACTTCCGGCACAGTCATCGCCGGTGTGCCGCCTGGCGTCCTCCCTCTGCATCCCAAGCCTGGACTCAGATTGATCACATCGCGATCAGCTACCGCTGGCGTGGTTGTGTACAAGACTGCCGCTCCTTTTGGAGTACCTATCTGGAGTCTGATCATGCCCTGGTCTGCGCCAATCTCACCTTACTTTTCAGTGGCCGAAGGATTGACCACCACCAACGGATTGATATTAGTAAACTGGCTGCAACTTCTGTTGCAAGTAAGTATCGAGCTGAGCTAGCCTCTAGGCTAGCTACCACCCCACCGAAAAGTATAGACGAGCATTGGTTGCATCTTCACGACGCCATGAAAATGGCGAGTAAAGCCGCTTGCGGCTTCGCGAAAAGTCCCGCTTACAAGCACTGGGTTTCTTCTGGCTCCTTACAACTGATGGAAGCCCGTCGGTCTACTCCGGGTGACCGTGAGTTTGACCACAAACGAAGGCTGTTACGTAATGAAATCGGGCAAAGCTTGTGTAAGGACCGGGAAGCCTGGTGGTCGGAGCGTGCTAATGAGATGGAAGCAGCAGCTGCATCTGGTAACTGCCGGAAGCTCTTCCAACTCATCCGAGCCACTGGCAGCAAGAAGTCTGGTGTGAGTGAAACAATCTACGGGGATGACGGGATGCCAATCACTAACATCTCCCGACGTCTTGGACGATGGGCGGAATTTTTCGAAGGGCAGTTCAACTGGCCTGCTGCTACGGCAACATCAACCAGCTTGTCCTGCTCCCCATGGCCGGTGACGACTGATCCACCAAACGAGGCGGAAGTCCGCAAGGAACTCCAACTCTTGAAACGTTATAAATCACCAGGCCCAGATGACTTACCTCCGGCTCTTTTTAAAGATGGTGGTGACTTTCTGGCTAAGGAACTGACTGCGTTGTTTGGAAAGGTCTGGGAGCAAGAAAGTGTTCCAACATCTTGGAATGAGTCAATAGTCGTCCCTATCTTTAAAAAGGGTTCACGTTGTTCCTGTAGCAACTATCGGGGGATAAGTCTACTTTCGATCGCGTCCAAACTATTGGCTTCTATCATTCTTCGTAGGTTGTTTAAAACCCGAGAACGATTGACTCGCGAGGAGCAGGCTGGTTTTCGTTCTGGTCGAGGATGCATTGATCACATCTTCACCCTCCGCCAAATGTTAGAACACCGTCATACTTATCGCAGGCCAACAATCGTAGTGTTTCTTGATATCAGGGCGGCCTTCGATTCGTTGGACAGGACTGTTCTCTGGGATTGTCTATTGAAGAAGGGTGTGCCTGAGAAGTTCATTAACATCTTAAAGGCCCTGTATACGAACACCTCAGGCAGAGTGAGGGCATACAACAACCTTTCTCCCTTGTTCCATTCGAGCAGTGGGGTTAGGCAGGGTTGCCCGATCTCCCCATTCCTCTTCAACTTTGCCATCGACGACATCCTAGAAACAGCTCTGATGGATGTAAGTAATGGCGGTGTGGATATGTTGCCTGGAGAACGACTTCTCGACCTTGAGTATGCGGATGATATTGTCTTACTGTGCGATAATGCCTAAGGCATGCAATCAGCACTTAATCAGTTGGCAATCAGTGTCCGCAGGTACGGCATGTGCTTTGCACCCTCCAAGTGCAAAGTACTTCTACAAGACTGGCAGGATTCTCATCCTGTACTCACCCTGGATGGTGAGGAGATCGAAGTAGTTGAGAAGTTCGTGTATCTAAGTAGCTATATAAGTGCTGGTGGTGGCGTGAGTGATGAGATTGATGCACGTATAATGAAAGCCAGAGCGGCTTATGCCAATCTGGGCCATCTTTGGCGCCTTCGTGATGTTAGTCTGGCTGTAAAAGGTCGGATCTACAACGCGTCGGTGAGAGCAGTTTTGCTCTATGCTTGTGAAACCTGGCCTCTCCGAGTTGAGGATGTTAGACGTCTCTCTGTGTTCGATCATCGTTGTCTCCGAAGGATTGCTGACATCCAGTGGCAACACCATGTTAGTAATGCAGAGGTTCGGCATCGTGTGTTCGGGCGCAGAGACGATAATTCAATTGGTGTCACCATCTTGAAACACCGACTTCGGTGGCTCGGACATGTTTTACGAATGTCGTCCCAGAGACTTCCGCGTCGTGCATTATTTGCCGACCCTGGGACTGGTTGGAGAAAGCGGAGAGGAGGTCAGTGTATGACATGGTGTCGTGGCATGAAAGAGAGCTGCAAAGGGCTAGCTTCCGTTGGTCCTTCACGACTCCCTGGTTGGGGTCCGAGAGATAGTGCAACACAGTGGCTAGAGACGTTATCGGATATGGCTCAGAATAGAAGCCAGTGGCGATCCTGCTGCAACCTTCTTTTACTTTCTACATAAAGAATGGTTCTAACTTTCCTAACTGAAAGAATCTTCTGGTTGTACATTTCAGCCCGCCTTATCTTTTCATCCTTTATCTACCTACTTTCATTATTTTGTGTGGCGCATATGTACCTGGTGCCCTTTTGTACCAATATATATGTGTTTAAATAAATAAATAAGGTCAAGTGCGTTGTTTAGTTGAAATAAAATAACGACGAGTTGAAATTTTTGCGTAATATACCTGGAATGAGAAACTCTCAATCATTTGATGGGTGATATTTCTAACTACATTAAAAATAAATTTCAGTGGGTAGTTACAGAACGGCCACTTAAAATAAAAAGTATTGATCAAACCGTATTTGGATTGATGTTAATATTTACTTATTTACTGACTTGTAATTGTATTTGGCACATTTAAATTTCAATATGGTTCCTAAAAGATGTATTGATGCAAATTAATGATCAAACTGTCCAAGTACAATATCACGATGTTTACAAATTCTCACAGTCATTTTTTGGTGAAACGTCGTCCCTATCATACTTAGGGAATTTTAATGAATTGTCTTAGTTAATTGGAACCGCTTCTTAGTAACATTAGTTTTACGTATTAGTATACTTTAGTAGCTATTTAGATACTAAGTTATTCGTGTCAAGGTAAAAACTTATTTTTAAACATCTGATTTTTATCTCATACATCATTGTCTAAATGATGTCATAATTTGAAGGCGATCAAATAATTTAGTAAAGCAAATACAGTTACTTACTTGAAGATTGAATTGTTGAATACTTTGGAGTTTTGCTCATTATGATTCCCTCTTTAGTACACAACACAACTAAAGATCCATCAGATTGACCAACCAGCAGTAACAAAATAACGGGTGGTAAATAATCACTGGATTTTTCATCTTCCAAAAATAGCTTGAAGTAATCTGGGCTGTGTACTGGGTAAAGTAAGAGTGGACCACGGTAAAACACATCATCTTCAGATGATGACCATATAGAAAGCAGGCTACACGGTCGACTACAAGTGGAAAATACAGCGATGTCTCCATTCTGAAAGTGTTAATAAAATGTAATAGGTTCAAGTAAGTAAACTAGATGTAGGCGATTTGTTTACAATCAATTCGGTGGGCATAGCTAATGAAATTTGAGCTGTTTTTTCACCTAGATTAATTTGAGTGCTCAAGTGTACTAAACCGAAAAGGAAAACAATAGTTTATGGGTGGATTTTATGGTAAAGATAAGAAAACGTTTTGTGACCGTGTCAAATAAACCAGTGAATTTAATGATAAATTTATAAAATGATAAAAAAAACTACGTGGTACTTGTAAAACATTTTTTCCCAGTTCAAGACACTAAAGTGATACGTATTTACAATCATCATCGAAACAATAGTGTAGTTTTTACTTAGATTTTCGATGGCTTAACAAAAAGTTATCTACTGAGAAGTATAATATAAGTTTTCTCTTGAACCAAGTAGAGTTACACTGAAGACTAAATTAATTTTCTTAACATCTATACCGAGACCATAGTCATACGTAAGTTCGAGCCAATAAGAAAAGGGACTAGAAGATTCCGTTCAAATTTATGCAAGAGCGTCATCGGTTACATTGTATTCTTCCAGATGTTATAAACTGTCAGATCTGCAGTAATAAGACAAATGACTAATGATCAACGCTTTTAGAATAACATAATCAGAACTTAATAAGCTACCCTTTACATCCAATGAAACAATTTAAAACTCAGAAACTCCTAGTTATAGCATTCGTAACTGCTTGTCAGTGAAACAGTCTCACACTAAATCCGCTTTCCACATAAATTACTTCACCAAAAAAATTTTGAGACAGGAAAAATTTATCACAGCCTATCCACGAAGTAAAATCACTCCCATCCATTGTTAGCTGGATCGATGCTTACATCTCCTTGTTGGGACGGCTTCCAAAAATACGACGGAGAGACCAGAGGTTCCAAACAAGTCAAAGAGACTATCCAGTCAGAATCTGATAGGGCTTCCTAGAACATCAATGTGACATGCAGCGATTGGACAACAGCATAACTTGCCTCCTTACGGATTGGCAGAATTCAGTTCCCCTGCTTCTGATTTGCAACTGCGGCGTTCTACGCGTCCGATTACCGTCATTTGTATATCGTTTTCTTCCGTAATCAAGTATAGGAAGTAACACTCCTCTGAAATTGCTACAAATGTGCTTACACCAGTAAGTGTATTCCGATCCATTAGTGAGATTACAAGAACTTTAAATGTTTATTCGTTTTTATTTCTGAGCCCACTAATGAAACCTCACTATCCTACAGATACTTTACATTAACATCATCCCTGGTAACCTTAACGAACGTGAATAATATCTAGCACGAACAGTATACCATAATATAACTTGGGACATGTATTATGATAAGCCTGAAAAAATGACCTATTAAAGTAGTTATTGCTTTTGCTATTACATCCTCTTTGCTTCCGTCGTATTTTCTCTAGATGTAGATGATTATAATCGAACATCGTAAAACGCACGGCGGTTTTTGTATTTTTAAAAAAATACAAGTCAACATATATAAGCTAACAATATTGTTTTCGATTAGATCCTCATCAGGCTTCTTTCTAATATACAGTAATTTTATATGTAAATACTAAATTATTAAACCAGTCAAGGCAGTTTATGAGTCAATGATAACAGTGGAATAGATTACATAAATAAACATAATAAGTGAAAAGTACAAATTGGTAGTGTGATGACAGGTGTACTAGTTGTGATAAGAATAATAAAGGCTTGAATCAATGTTACATAATGAGAAACAGGTCAATGATTAGAAAAATATAGACACTGAAATAACATTCGTAAAAATTATAAGACTACGTAATAAGAAATGTTTAGATAATTGGACCGTAAAACGTATATTGGAGAGAAAGAAAATGATAGGAGGGGATGAAGAGAAATAAACGAGGAAAGAGTATGGAAAGCAATGATAAATAACATCATTTTTTAAGGCCAAGGGAGAGATAAAGGTGTTACAAATTTCTTACGAACACAAAGACTTCGATTGTTGGATCGAATTCCTATAGCTTCTGCTATGTGTAAAGAACGAGATCGAACGCCATAAGGAAAACTAGTAAGAATATGATAAATCACTTTAAATGACTTATTTCTGTTTACTACTTGACCGCTATCGATCAAGTGTAATAGAACAGAGTTGCGTATTGCTTTGACGATACCCTTTCCTAACGACGAAGGGAGGTGTTTACTAATTCTTTGGCTCAGTTCTCTGGTAATGCGCCAAATATAGCTTTCTCCACATGAGCAGCTGAATTCGTAGGTATACGAGGAAGTGGCATAACCAGGCAACTTATCCTTTAGTTGAGGAATCACCATAGATTGAGTTGAGTACGATAGACAGATGTTACTTGCACTAAACGTTCTCTTTACTGCTCTAGTCGGTCTATCACGTAGCCTATATTTTTATAGCTGAACAATGTAAAAAAATATTAAAAATGTGTTATTGAAGTTTGCGTGTATTATTAATGAAAGGATCGATGTTCATTAGATGACATAGACATTTGAGAAACCATAAAAAATTATTACTCAAATGATTATATAGCTTATTCAATAGGGGTTGATTATAATTTACCAGTGCTAGTTTAGCTGACCTTCCTCATAAAATAATGTTGTTGTTCTAATGAACTGATCTTAGCACATAATTTCCAACTGATAGTACAGTAATTCAACGTTAATGAAAACAAACATATTCACACTAAATTTTGGTAAACGCTTCAAGGTCAAAAAACTTTTTTATCAGAGTTGACTGAACTGTTTTTCATAGGAAAGAAGTTCACAGGCAGTGATGGAGTATAATGATTATTTCATTCAATCTATGGGTAACATAATGGCATATGCTAAGATAATCGTTATTGTATATCGATGAATGCTAATACAAATTTGCCATAGTGTAGATAATAAAGATTTGGTAATTGTGAAACTAAAAGTTTTCTTACGCTTTCGTGCTTGAAGAACACAAGGGCTAGCTATTTTCTCACAGAAATAATATGAAACGCATCAGATGAAACCATCAGACTATTTCACTTAGAATTCATGAAAAACCCAGTGATGGGGGAACTGTATTAAAAAAAACGGAAAACGTATAGGAAATGAGATTAACGAAAAACGAAGATTTTCCTCTTTTATTCTTCCGAAGCAATATAATTGAAAGTACCACTTTCATTATCTACTGACAAAATTCATTTTAAAGATGAACATTTTTGACAAGTTGATGATATTATTATGTCCACTGTTTTGGAACCTCCCTTAGCTTATGTACATCCCAAACTGCTAAAAATATGACGACTGTACTGACCAGGTATGTAAACCCCGTATAGGAGGTAAATGGATGATATACTAGTCATACTTGATAGGTATTTCTGTGTGATTGGATAATAAAATAGACTTAATAGTGCACAGAACCATATTCTACTTATTTATAAAGAAGAAAACAATGACTGATTACCGCTTCCAAATATACTTTTGAATCAAGAGAGGAAAGAATTATAAAACGATCAGTTTATCTAAAGCCGATCAGGACTGGGAAATATCTAAACTTTCGCAGTTTCTGTTTGTGAGGACGATCAACAGGTGAACTTGAGGAAAGTCTAAGAAACCCAGAAGGAGCCGAACGTATTCCATCTAATCAGATTTTGGAAGAATATTCCAGAATCATTACATGTGGTTTCCCTACTGGACAAATGATAATACCCGTGGATTGGATAATTATAATGATGATTTCGTTTTAACTAATAACTATAAATACCTGACAGTCTTTTTCACCATAATTGACTCTGTTTGGAATAAGATTTCTTACATTTGCATTCTGTCTTCTCATTTTGCGACTTGGGAAGGTTCTAGCATTCGAGTGCTCAAGTTATACGCGATATACCAGAATCTATGTTCCAGACATAATAACTGACGACGGAGTTATCTTATCCAGATGTCATTTATCTTTGAACAATTTGAAGCCTTGATGAAGCATCAAAAAAGTTTCAAAAAGTTCCAGGTTCGTATTATAGAAAACCTAACCCAACAACAAAATGAAGTTACAGATAAATCTTTCTAATCTCATGTCGACCAGAATAATAATTCTATCCATGAATTTAACTTCGATGGTTCGGCTGACATCACGTTTGAATCGTGATTCAAGAAATACGATTTGTTAAAGGTCGAACTCAGAAAACTTGATTACGCCACCAAGGGCTAGCTATTTTCTCACAGAAATAATATGAAACGCATCAGATGAAACCATCAGACTATTTCACTTAGAATTCATGAAAAACCCAGTGATGGGGGAACTGTATTAAAAAAAACGGAAAACGTATAGGAAATGAGATTAACGAAAATTTCCCAATCAAAATCGACGATTTTTAGAAAACGAGTTGTCAAATTCATTTTATCAGTAATTGCGAAGATAAGGTATCGAAGATAATCTTCTTCATCAATTTTGTACTCACAATACCCAACAAGTGACATGATTTGAGCTTCCAATTTGACGTAATCACGTGACACAATATAAGTAAGCACATTGCTTATCGGGAAGATTGGCCTGCGAGATCACTTTGTGGCGCTTGTTAATTACATCTTGGGGATCCAGGCGCTTCCCATAAGATTGGTAAACGAAGTGCACAATATTGAATACTGTTGTCCCCGAAATCAGCAGAGGTCACACTGTTTCAATTTCTGCATCCGTTGACATGCGCATCCAAGAATTGTTGTCGTACCTCAGGAATTTGTACTCATGATTGATATGCACAATCTCACGAACAACAGTCCAATAAACTTCAATACACTTGAAATAGATGAAGATCGGACGTTGAGTATTCATCGCAGCCGTTCATGAACAATATAATAACACTAATCACATTTGTGCCTTTGTCTAATCGGCTGTGAGGAGCCACTAGGTGTTCTACGACCATTTCTCCAACATATAAATTTAATATACGGCTTCTGGTCCTTATGGAAATGAAAATCGCTCAATGCTCAATGGCAGTACGTCGCCCTTTCATAAGTCCTAATAGCGTTCTTTAAGTGATTGGAATACTACCAGATATAATGTATTTAAGAACACGTTATCCGTGTCCATAACAACGTGGGAAACGACAGAGCTTGTATTGTGTGCGTTATTAGCGTTCGTAATTTGAAGAAAAATTGCTCTGCCCACAAGTGCTTACATTTTATTATCAGTTTTAAGAAATAAATAACCAATCATTTAATTGAACAAAACGGAATGAAAAAAAAATTGAAAATGTGATAAAAAAAAGTTTTTTAAAAACATGCAAAAATAACCATGCGTTAAATGATATTCCCGTTACGGCACTGGAAACAACCTTAAATATACTGCTCATACATCAACAGGTTGTCCACTCAAACAGAACTAATAGTTCCTAACTGTTGCTTTGGATTGCTGAAATATACGTGAAAAATGTACTACTTAAACAATTTTTTTAGTCAGAACCCTTCAAATAATAAAATATCCCGTATGTTCTGTACGTTTAATATTGCCATCTATATCAAGTTGATGATGCATGTAAACTGGCATAAATTTGTAATTATTATTTTCAGAATATATATCATTAATGTACAGACTTAAAGAATCAGTGAGTTAACTAATACTATACAACACTAGTATTAAATCATTCGAATATTCATTAAGACGAACAGAAGTTTATGAAAAAGAACAAAAATCAATTTAAATTCTATAGATGTCCGTGAGTCAGATATATTGGAGGCAATTACTAGGCTTAACTCTGCGGAAATCAGTCATATAAAGTAATTCAGAATGTTAATATATTTTTATTTAGCAAAACATTTGATGTGCTAATGAGTAGATCGTATCAAAAGAAGTTTTCAAAGAAAAGTATAACATAATGACTGGATTTATTCATTGTAAAATTACCATCTGAGGATATAAAGATGCCTCAGGAGTAAATATACGAATGTTTAATACTTATTGGAATAAGTTAAGAGAATCATATTTACATTTTTACAGACTGTTACTCACATTCAATCTTTTTAAATATTTCGTTTTTTTGTGATTTCAAAAGAATAACATTTCCATTAGTAAACCATAACTTACGTCTAACAGTTAGGACATAAGGCATCCTGCTAAATACTGACTTACGTCGTTTTTTAATCAATAGGATATTTATGTGTATATTAGAATACATAGTCCGCCAATCTCTTATACATGAGAATACAAGACAAACTTTGTTAAAGTTGGTGTGATGAATGTATAATAGATTTTCACTACCTATGGTCCCAAAGAATAACTCATATAAAGTTAAATGAACAAATGAAACTTAAGAAATTTGGCTCATGTTTTAGAAAATGATAGAAACTTGAATCAGTAATTTTTATGCTACACTAGAATCGTCCTCAAAATAAAAGTGGTTTGTGAAGTATCGTCAGAGTGATGAAAATAATTCACGATACAAAAAGGATAAATTTCTAAGATATATGGATAGCTGGAAAATTCATGCATTTATGGATTACAGTTCTATTCCACAATAATAGTAACAATATTTATACTTTAAGTATGAATATCTGTAACATATATCTCGGGGAAATAAACTACATAATTAACTTACACTTTGTAAAATAAACAATTTTTCTAGCATCCAATGCCAAGTAGCATCTTCAACTGTATCTTCACATACAGCTGTTGTTAAAATGGATCCGTTCAATGTGGAAAGTAAATGTACACTTCCAGGTTTTCCTTCACATATAACAACTGCTATATTAATCGAATTATCATTTTGATATTCAGCTAGATTAGATGATTTATCGGCCGCCGGATTAACAATATCATATAAATCATTCAATCTTATAAATGAAATATTTTTAACTATTTGTGGAAATTCGGCCATCGGTGAACAAGGCTGTCCAATAATTTGAAAAAAGGAATAAAATGGCAAATTTATATGAATCCTATATTTTAACAAACACAACATTATTCACTAACCAATTATATATCATGTAAATGTACATACTACTATGTAGCTTTAAAATTAAGCTCATTGAGAAGGAATCCTTCGCTAAATTATTTGTTTTATAAACATTTACCCCAAACAAACGCGAACTGACAAATCCTAACTTGGTATAAATTAAAACAAATATACACTTAATTTATTTTGTTAAATATAAATCTGAAATAATTTAATATTCTGACTATTAATCAAACTCAAGAGGAATTGCTTGATTGAATGACATCTTTTTAATCTAACAAGCAAACAGAGGTATCTCGTAAAGGTTTCATTATGTACTTTGAAGTTATTGATTTGGACAACATAACTTTTATTTTTGTAGACATTAGAGAGTTTTATCTTACAAACAATGTTAATTAATATGATGAAATTGATTTGATAGGTAAAATATGACGTTTTACCAAAAATACTTTCACAGTTTTAAATTATCTGACAGAAGTTAAGAATGCAAGCAAACGGATTCCAAGTTAATGATCAAAAGAGATCATGCATGTTTAGATCTCTGAAGTCTGTGAATATCAGGCAGTGTACATTTGTGGGAAAACACTGCTTTAGAGACTCAAAATAGGATCAAACATCAGCCCAACACTTTCAATTTTTTTAATAGTTCTTAATTTGACATCGGTTCGTGGTAAAGTTCACCTTTAAATTACTGATTGGTCAAAACTCCAGATGAGTCAGTACAAAACATCATTTCAGGAATGAAATAAATAGATTTTAACTTTTCAATGAAATAAAATGAGTTCATTTTTACATCAATGAACGAAGAAAACCAGACAAGCTCGTTGGACGAAACGTTAGAATTATTTAAATTTCAATCGCTGAGATTATTTCAAATATAATTTCCACATATAATGAATGAGTACTTATGAAATGATAAGTGTCTGATGGCTTTATTTGACGATCTGTAACAATTAGATATTTGCAAAAGAACAATAAATAAGTAAACCCGTGAAAATATGGGCACATCTAAATTTGTATTACCTCAGATATTGTCCAGTGTTCCAAGTAATACTCCTGTTGGCATTTCTCATGAATCTTACATGAACTGATATCTCCACATACTCCAACCAAAACAATCTCACCAGTGTCTCTTTTCACTGTAATGTCATGAATAGTATGCACTGAGTTTGATGCCGAAGTCTTTGTAGACAGAATCTTTGAATACAAGTTCATTAGCGTCTGTCTACTATCTACTTCTTTGATAGTATTCTCCATAGTTCCATTATCTGATACAATTCTTGACAGGTTTAGAGATTCCGAACCACCATTTTTTAGATATATATAGTGTGATTGCCAGAACTGCCAACACTTCATCAATCCATCCTTACTTATAGAAACGAAACTTGGAGATGTGGAATAAAATTTTTGTGGTCTAATTAAATCCCACCTATGTGCCGAAAAATGAATAATTTCTCCCAAGTGACCATGAAGTATTGATAATTGAACTTGGTCAGTATTCCATGTCTGAAAATGAAAACGTCTGGTGAATTTATTTGTCTAGTTGCCATCTGACCTAAATGTAGATTTTTAATAATACGTGATACCTGGGTTTTTAGTAGTTTCAAAAACCTATCAATGGTAATTTGACACCTTTTAGAATGTTTCATAGCATCCAATATATACACTTAGTCTAGTTGACCTGAATCTTCATATTTTAACAGTTTAGTAAAATAAGATTTTAACGACTTCATAATAGAAATAGCAAAGGTTGTATTTGGTGGTTATAACGATTTTCCTGTACTCAATTTCTCGATACACATTTCATTTAGTAGTGAGTGGTCTGTATGCAAATCTCCTCACCTCGAGGCCATAAGGTCTTGGGTTCAGTTCTTAATGAGATTTCGGATGAGCACTAACCAAACTAAGACGAAATAGCTGTTTGATAACTCCTGATTTCAAATAGTTATCTAATTGGTCAGTTTCCTTTGTAAACCATGTTTACATTGAAAGATTTCCATAAGATTCCCATGTTTGGACAAATTGGAGTTATAAAATGCAGAGAGGAAAGGCGATTTGTATATGAAGGGTATTGTGACAATTTTATAGAGATTTGTTCTAGTTACATTTGTTGTTAACCAATAGTGAACTGTTAGCATTTCCAATTTGAATTGTGATTTACTAATTGGATGCAGTTACACTTCAATATGTTTTAGTTCTCGTCGAAATTATAGCTTATTACCATTTTACATATTATCACTGAAATTATTTAAAGTGAGCCATATAGCCGAAAAAATTAACTGCTAGCGTCAGCATAGAGAACACCATTCCAACACATTTATGAATAATGAAATATATTTATGTTAATGACAAGTCTAAAATGAAACACGAAAGTTATGATGTTACCACTTTGGCTGTGGAGAGTGTTGTATTCAGTATGAGGGTGTGGAGGTTGTTGAATCGCACTGGACTCATAAATTAGTCTAAGTAAGACCACCATTGAAAAGCTGTAAGCACTGAATAGGCATTTCATCTTAGTATAGAACTAACCAGTAGTGCGAACCTACGACCCTGCAACCGGGAATCCAACCCAGGACCTCCGGCCTCGTTCGTGAACCCTTGACCTCTGAGTCAGCATAAGATTTTAGTCAATTCAGTCTCCAGTAATTTAGTTGTATGGTTTTCCTTCTCACTTATTTGTACAAATAGTCATATTTATCCATTAATTATTTTCACAATGGAAAATTGATCAAACGATATTTTACCGATTAACGACATCTGCGGAGAAATTAGTGAAGGCAGACAAAGGAAAATTATTCCATTGAACATAACTTCAATTTACGTCTGGATAATTAAATTTTATTGTGATATAAGTTATCATTAGTTACTGAACAAAAAAATAATATATCAAGTCTGTGATTACTATATAGACTATTGTTACATGTAAAAGATTGATTTCACTGTAGTGGTCCTGTAATCCAGTGTATGATTAAGTAGCTAGTATCCCATCGGTAGGATAGTATCTATTATTTTGTATCGGAAAATGGTTCTTATTTTAACCGTTATAAAACAGTTAGTTCTCAATATTTGTATCGAGCGCTAATACTTTGAATTCGTTAGTCCTATCAAACAACTGAAATGAATCATTGTGTTTTTCGTTTAGCAAATCAACTTTAGAATATGTGACACGCTTTATAAAATGCATACTTTAATTGTCCCACATTTATCACCAGTAATCAAAATATTTAATGGGCTAATGTAAAGAACAGCTGTAATTTGTGATTGATGGTTGATCACAGAATTTTCAAAGGTTTGAAAATTGATCATTTCCAATAGTTTTGCATCATTCTCATCATAATAATTATTGTAGGACAGAGAACTGAAATGTCTATTGAATTGCATACAACGCAGCCAAGCTGAACATTTCCAACCAATTAAAAGTTGACAGTTATGACTACATTTCTCTTCGAAACTGATTAATTGTGATGGAAATTCATATGTCTCAAGAAGAGTTTTAAGTAGAGGACATGTCACGATTTTTGTAAATAATTCTTCTCGACAACTTGGAGAACTAAATGAGATACAATTCCTAAGTATCAAAACTGGTACACATTTATTAGGTATAAGTTGGATTTCAGTGAACTGAAACTGCCAGTGTCTTGCAAATATAATCCAACAATAGTCATTCGAAAATGTTTTAAACGATTTTAATTCCAACGAAAATATGCTTCCTGAATCGAAGTTTGAAAATACACCAATCAACTGATTTTTAGTTGTTGATGGGATGCCAACATTCTGAAAAATAAATTGATGAGATAATATAATAGTAATAAAACGTTGCTACGGGGAATTCATATTATTGATGAATGACAATTAGTTCCACAATAACTTTATGTATCACCAACCGGAAGTAATGTCAAGGGACAAAATTTACCCTGATATTAAGTAACAGATTGCTAAACTTATAGTTGTATTTATCCGTATTCAAACAACACTGAAGTACAGTAACAGATTGTTTGAATGATTTAAGCTTATCTATCCAGCACCAAGATAACGTTATCTAGATTGCATTTCCATAGACATAGACGTCTGAATTCGGGAAACTGTTCCATCACTGGTCTAATTTAATCACTTCCCGTCAAAGATTTGAAAGCTTCACATAACGTCAGTAAAATTTAAATATATAAATAAGGTTAACTACTGAAAATTTCAGAATTCTGAATATCATGTTTTGTGGACCCTTAGTAGTGTTGATCAACAAAAAGTAATTTAGCCTTTTTTCTTAGAGCTTAGCTTATATTCAAGCCCATTTGTGGTGTGTGCTACTGATGTCGACAAATATAAGTAGTATGTATCATCGATTGAAAGTGAAATACATGGAGGCAGAATGTTAAGGTCGAAGAGAAGAGCTCGTGAATAGAAAATGATTGCTACAGAGACGAGGGAACAATGAAGTCTGAGATGATTGATTGACATTTTGCAAATGAAGTATTTACTGTACGGTTCTCAGATTTTACTAAGACGTGCCGAAATTTTGTGTTAAATACATTTGCTTGTCCACACTGATGTTCTCGTTCATTACACACTTACTTATTCCCAGTGAACGATATATTCGATCGCTTGAGATCTGCGGGTAAAATGGAGTTGCCGTCTTTGTCAACTATATTGTTAGAACCACAGACGCATCGAGTAACGTTGAAAATTTAGAACAGCAATGAGAAACTTGATTATTTATACAAAGTGAGTTCTGATCTAGCCCTAAATGGCAAATTCCCTCGTTTGAAATGATCTCTAACAATCCAGGTGTTCGAAGAAACTTGATCATTTCGAACTTATATAGGTCAAGTAACGTCCATCGTTAAAATCAGTATGACTTATAAATGGTGAATTATCACCCGGATGATGGTATAAAATTTCTTCAGTTTGTCGCAGTCTATAGTGACAAGTGTCAAGCAACCGTCAGACTAACACAACGAAAGGAGAAGGAGCTGCATATTTAAATGAATATATACATGAATATACATAAGAAAAGTAATAATTTTTAGCTGTTATCCAAGTTCGTGGTGGCACAAGGTGACGTTCTGTGGTTATCTGAGTCTGATGTTGATATGTACAGGCTTCCTGAATGAGTGCACAGACCAACTACATCAGTAAAAACATCAATTGTGGGAAGGAACTTTTTATTGGCCAAGCGAATGGAGGGCATATGCACAGCTTATTCATAAATATGGATATATGTCCTCCATAAAACGGAGCCGAAACCTGAACAACAACATGCGCTCGTGAGCATCTCTCACTTTGTATTTAGTTACTGCCTGACCGCCCGGTGTAATATCTTTTTTTCGCGAAAAACTAGTCTTTCTTTTGGATTAAAATAAATGGATTGAATGGAGGGTCGATCACAAATATACTTAGATTACGTTAGATAATGTTGTGGAATATATAGCGTATGCATTTTTATGAAAACATATGCTTTTGTGTGACGTTTATTTACTTGAACGTCTAAAGAATAAAACATTCATTTTTTGTTCACTATTGTAAGATTTTAATTGAGAAAAATGACAGTGACACAATCATCACTGAGAAAAGTAAAAATGCAATGAGGTTCAGTTGTCATTTATTTTAAATATCTCACCTCAAGATCTTCACATGATAAAGGCCATAAGGTATTTCCACCAGGTTTCCAACCGATGAAAACGTCCACTTTTGATGCGTATGCTAAACGGTTATAACTTTGACTAAAAGCATTTTCTGACGATTAATTTAGAACGGACAATTCAAAACGTAAGGACATGTAACAAAATAAAATGGTATTAATTTACTTTACCACTTGGAAATTTAATGGATTATCAAATTAAGTTATTGTACTTGCCAAATCAACATGTCCAAATAACTCAAATATGTATTTCAGTTAACAAATAAAAATTTCATTTATTTTGATAGTTTTACTGAGGGATTTTTACACCAAAGACAATTTTTACTTTGGATTCAGAACCATTTAAAACCATAAGAATATTAACTGTTATTTTGTTATGTGGGAATACTTCAATGACCTAACTTGATTTTGGTTTTTCGAGTTTTTCAGGACGCTTATGTAAAAAATGTTTGGATATAAGGCAACATCAAGTACTTTAAAACTGAGATATCAAAGCGGTCGATATACGCTTATTCACATCCAAGTAATTTTTCCGGAATGTCTAGACGTAAAACACAACACAAATTCTTTACAGCATTTTTTCTAGGATCTATATTTTATGTAGTGAAGTGGATGAACAAACCAAGACCCATATGGTTAAAGATGAGCGCTTCACAGACATTGTTTCAGTCAATTTCAAGAATATGCTTTATTTATGCAATCAAAATGTAGACCAAAGGAGAATTTATCTCAACATCAACCACACTGCGCTGATAGTTTCTTAATGTAACTAAACCGGATGCAAAGTGAACTAATTGCAGCTTGTATTTTTGGAAACACTTGACAATGTATAGGATCAAGCGTATTCACATCGGGTCTCACAACAAGCATAACATTTGAAAACCACTAGTTCGGGACTTAGTGGTTTACATCACGCAATAGTGCTATCCTGGGGAAACTATAATTTATGAACGGAACAATGAAATTAAAGATAAAAAGTCTTAGATTTGTAGGTGAAACTTAGTCATTCATATGGCTAACTGGCACTTTTGCACTATAGCTGATATTCATTCTTGGTGAAAACCTTTATTTTAATTATTAACCTTAAATCCCAATCCTAAATCCTAATCTTAATTCCTAATATTAACGTAATACTCTTTTATGCCACTTTTAAGTGGGTGAATTGTCTCATCGTCACCTTAACATTGCTCAAAGGTCGTCCATAAATTACAGTTCCACCGCTATCCTTACTCACGTTTTTGAATTTCATAAAACTATCAACCTGATTGACACAAAAGACACTGCCTTCCAGTGAAGGTCTAAGGAAACCACCGAATGTATAGTTATTAGTTAACACATGATTTTTCAAAGATTTTTGTATATCTTGATTGCATTTTACATCACTAACTGACCCCCAAGGCCTATTGTTGTAAACAATCCCCTATTTCATGACCGTTATATAATAAAAACTATTTTCTAAAAAAAGAAAAGATGTTTTAGTCAATTACATCAAGACAGTAGCAAATAGATTGTTATTGCGGAGAGCTAAAAAAATTGATTGAGGGTTAGCAATCTTTAACTAGTTGTACTAAAGATTGTGAGATGAAACAAAGTGTGCTTTTTCTAGTGAAGATGCATGTGATGTACTGTATGATATCCGATTCTGATAGTGACATATACGTTTTCTGTACACAAGCCAAGATCAGCTATTTGAGCAAGAAGACAGACGGAGAATTTATTGATTAAATCCGAATTAGGAAATATCGGTACATTCATTTACAGATGTACGTCATCACTCTTTAGAAGACAAAAGCTCATTTTCAACTAATGGCGTGTCTCATTCTATCTTGCCCAACAGCGAACGTTGTTTAGCACAAGTCTGATTTGTCCAATGTACTAAAATTTTATCACACAGCTGAAAAAAACTGACAAAGTTTCATTGAACAATTTGGCAAAAAAGTAAAACCATAATTTAAAGGGGGAAACATCGTTATAAAAGGGTAAAGTTGTACTAACTCAGCGTTTACTTTGATGTTAACCACTTGGTGAGTCTGACATTACTGATCACTAACGACTTGAAGATATGATACTACTTTCCAATCACCTCTTATTTTAGTGTCCGGCTTTCCAGTAAGTTCACAAAGTTTTTAAATGACATGTTACAATAGTAACATTTTTATACAACAATTTTGTTCTCATGAAATGAAAACTCTCCAATTCCGATTGTTGGTTTTTAATTTTTAAAATCATAAATAGAAGAAAATAACTTGCATCCTCAGATTGGTTTACAAAACAAGACGTACTATTTTCGTTTTCCGTCAAAAGTACTTCGTTAATCAGTTTAAATTGTTTCAGATCGTAAAATTTGATGCTGTAGGGTGTTTTAATTGCAATCCGCCCATTTTCTCGAGGTAAGTAAAGAACCTGTTTTAAAAAAGCACAAAGGCTTCAGATAAAGTAAAAGTAATGCAGACAGTGGTTATATCATTTTAAAGTTGCACGACGACATTCTTTTTGTTTATTCAGGTTCATTTTGTTTAAGCCACAAAAAATATAAAGCAATTAATTTCAAGTGTATTTGTCAGATGACATGGTTAACGTACAACTGACTATTCAGTTGAACTGCTTTATCTTAATAAATGATGGACATTGATTGTCGAAAAATATTTAAAGTCATTGTAACTTACGTAACACTAAAAGAGTTTGCCTATATCAGCTGAGTGAGGGTAGGTCTTTCTGTACTATCGTATCAAAGACTTACTCCTGAGCTTAGCGAAAACCTACTTGGTAATTAACTGAACAAGCCTCTGGTGAAATGACACCGTAAATCCCCACAAGCATGTCGCTCAATTAGGAAGTCCTAAACAAAAAAAACAAAGATTTAAGATTATCCAAAAGTAGCAGTTTTGCTTCTATTCTATTTTAGCATAGAGAGTAATAACAAACCCAAACTGTTAGAGCGACGTTTGCTTATCTAGAACTGCCTGTTATTATGGTTTATTTCGAGACTGATATCAACTAAGGTTTTCATACATTAGTTTCAAGCTAAAAACGGTATTAATACGGAATGTAGTTGAGCAAATGAATATTCGCAATGTCTCATAACTGAAAAATGCTCATGACTGTGGAATACATAAGTTCTGAAAGATTGATAAATTGTGATTATACAGAAAAGAAAATTTAACAAAACAATTACCTGTTCTATTATACAAGAAGAAAAAGATGCCGACCTTTTGAGAAGACTATATCCAAATATTCTGTCGACATTCGAACACACACTGGGTTGACTGTAGCTATAAGATTTATATTGAAGTATTCGGTCTCTAAGTAGCCTCCATCTATCTCTTGAACAACAATAAATTATAATTTCAAAGTAAAGAAAATGCTCTATTACTTTGCCTTAATTGAAAATGTATCGCCTCTGTTCTTAGAGTCACAAGGAAGGTCACAATTTTGTTTGTGATCATTAGTGTTCATATTGAAAAAAGGTTGATTACATTTACAACGACCTAATATTGGCAACCTCTAACTGGTAGAGACAAACAAACTAGTTTCAGTTTCAGTTTCACTTTGGAAATTACAGGGGGCTTAATGGCCTGTGTTAGTTTTGGAAATGATGGTCTCTCAGCCGATCCAACTTTTTTTGAATGAGTCGACGGATGGAGCCTCAACCACGTGCTGAGGTAATGAATTCCACTCCTTGATTATTCGATGGGAAAGTCGGTAGTCAGCTGACAAGTAATTCGTTCTGGGATTGTGAACTTTTTTGGAGTGTCTTCGTAGATTTTCTGTTTTGGAAGACAAGAAAAATGAGGGCATATCAGGTGCAAATTTGTCATTAAGCAATTTGAAAACTGTAATCAAGTCGCCTCTGATTCTTCGATATGACAGCGGGAATAGGTTTGGCCTGGTCAGTCAAGCACCATAAGGGAGCTTCGCTATTCCGGGAATCAGCTTAGTTGCTGTTCTCTGAACCCTTTTCAAGAGTCCACTGTCTTTTTTAGGCAGGGGCTAGCTGCTTGTATGCAGTACTCAAGTTTAGGGCGTACGAACACTGTATACAAAGTCAGAAACGTTTTGGTGTCGAGATGACTAAAAGCCCTGCGTATGGACCATAAAGTCCTAAAACATTTGGCGGCTATTCCACGGCAGTGTGCAGTAGCCTTTAAGTCTTGACTAACGATGACGCCTAAGTCATTGTGTACCACAGTTCTAACAAACAATGTCCAATAATAGAAAAATATTCCTTATAGAGATTATCCATAAAACAGGTTTCTGTGTTTCACTTATCTTGTTTAAAATAATTACTCTTCAGTTGTATAAATAATGAATTTGTTCTATTTTTCACATTACAGTTGTTGGTCTAATGTAACTTCAATGAACACATAATCCGTCAGGCTGAACCATTTCTGCGTTGGATGACAAAACACTTATCATCAGGCCATTTGGTGGATATCATCTGCGTTAGAAATGATTGCATTCTATGGACAATCGCATAAAGCAGTGGTTCCGCTTTGTACTTCTATTCCCAATGAATATTGATATATATATAATGTTGCCAATAGAGTTTAATTAGTCTAGACATTCACTTAAGAAGCTTATTCATCCGGTTCATCAGGCTTGTTGGGCCAGTGAAATGTCACTGAACCCTAGCCAAATCATTCCGCAGTTGGGTCACTAAATATCGAACAGATCATCGATCCATGTCAAGGTCAAGGACAGTTAACGCACATCAGTTAATCATACGCCATGGACTGGCCCATGCGGCAGTGGTTCTGCTTTCGCTTGCGTCTACTTTAACCAATATATTCCTGTAATAACGTCCTTTGTGTTGTACAGTCTTGATCCATGGTCCCTTGATACGTACATGGGGCAATCCACATAAAGTGCTGATCGCGAGGTGTGACTTCGGAGTTAGCTTGTTCGTTACACCGTTCCCGTCTAATTCGACATAGATCACCAATGTTGATAGTCTAAAGGCTTAATATTAACCACAATGTGCGAATTTGAAGTCAACTGAAAGGTGACACCATCCACGTTCAACTTGACAGAAATCATTTGAATTCGTTACTTAAACAGCTGATAATACCCTGTATTCAATAATGTGATGACTGGTGGCTCAAGAAACCCTACCGCTCCGAGATGGACGCCTTCAGACACATTACTATATTCATAAATATATTAATAACTACCAAATCCACTGGAATTGCTGCAGTAGAATGAAGGGGATACTACGCATTGAACATAAAGGAATACCTGAAACCGCAACGGAATAACAAGAAGAAAGCTCAGAGAAAGCAGTAGGCTTGTAAAAGGTCGTGAGAGAGATGCTAAATATTGTATATATGTATGTAGAATTATGGTCTGTTTCGTTATTAGTGCTGCTATAATAATAGACTTAATCATAAAATTGTAAATTTGTCATGATGTAACTACCCAATCTATAAGATCTAACGTGAAAGTCACAACACACAAGAATGATCACGCTTTCAAGGTCGACCCATGTCATTCAATGAAGTTAAATTCATTGAGTTCATTTTTGCCGTCTTCTTCACCGTTGGGTCCTTAACCACGTTAAATCTTGAATGTTTGTTTCCAAAGTTGTCTCGTCTTCAACCTTGAGGATGGTGTAGTCAGGGCTCAATGACACTACACGTATGTACACAATATACACAATAGCTTGACACTAACCAGACACAACCAACGGATAGGATGGATGCCTTGGAGTAAGAAATTATTGTTATATTGGGAATTAATGGCACCAGGATTTTTGTAAGCCGCACTGGTGTTATTCTCGAAGCAGGTTCAGATAACCTGTATGACAAGTCCACCTATTGTTGATAAAACCGGAAGTATAATGACCTCAATAAGCATGCCTATGTCTGCACAATCACGCAGAGCGAAAGTATCAATTAAACTGGGCTACAGTATTCGAAGTGGTTCTTGATGAGCATTCGTTCCAAAGTCGACCTTTAACAACTCCCTTATTTTGTATAGGCATTATGTTAAGATCCTGAAGGGAAAAGGAAAGGAGGGAGACCAAGGAGCACATTGTGTGGACAAATTCGCAAGCAGACATCTAAAGAATTAAGTGATTAAAAGTAGCTTGAACGGATTGCCAAGGATGGAGTCCGAGTGCGAATTCGGTTGGGAGACTCATGCTCCTTTATGAGGGGTAACAGACTTAAGCCAGAAAGTAAAATTGTAAAACGTCGCATTGCTGAAAAAGATGACCTCGCGCCCCTACCGTTTTTCTTTATAATCTAAATAAAGACCTGGTCACTACTAATCTGGTTTCTATCTATCGATAGGACGACGAGTACCCGCCGGCACACGATCGATTTTATTTCTTTGTAAAAGTAAGCCTGGTTATCTTTACCATAAATTTCGTATATAAATTTATATATCGTTTTCCATCCCAAAAATTTCGTGTTCGAATCATTATTTTATCACATTATTATTATATAAATGTAATGGTCATATAACACACATCAGACTCAAGCTAAGGTGAAAGACCTGAGGACAAATGTATTTCGTTACCGGTGGAGATAGACACTCTTATGTCTATGAAAGTCGGATTTTCAGAATTCGATCGTATTGGTCTTGAGTTGCGGTTTGCCCAAGTACATAATTATTTCACGGGACAACGTTAAATCTGAGGGAAATAAATACTGAGATTTAATAATAATAATATATTTTTGCAAAGGCAGGCAGACGCCATTTTTACAGGAATGATCTACAAGTTACAACATATACTGGTTCACAGTATGCATCTCAAGCATGGCTGTTTTGAGAACATAATCTATAAAAGTTGATAGCAGTTCATTCGTTCACATATAATGTGTTTTCACCAAAATATTTTCCAAAGTGGCATCGCGTCCACGTTAAACATTCAATCAAATCTCGGCGAAATTGTGTTAGGATTTTGGGATTTTTGACTTAAGCTTGAAAGTAAATCTCGTATCCGCGAAATTTGGGCTTATTAAATTTTCTGTGCTTCTTGAAATCATAAAAACAAAAGGAAGTCGTTCTTTATTGCATACGTTTCACCGATCTTTTTACAAAAACTACGAAAATGGTAATAGTCCTATGTTCTTCGTCAGATCTTTAACTTCCGGTCTATGAGTGCTATGTCCATTTTCTATGCTAAGTACACAAGATGTTTATCCCTCCCAAATCAGCGTAACTTGAATCCAACAAGACTAGGTCAGCACAAATGATTGGTTGATTTTAGAATTCGAAATCAGACAGTCATTAAATACAAAGGAATTATTAGATCATACAAACATCACAACCACCAGAGCTTAAATTGGGCCGTAAGTTTCTGCAACTGAGTGAATTTCTCCTTCATAGGTTTATCATATATCTGTCCAGGTGTGTATTGGATGTAAACTTTGTAGGATCTAGAATATACTCATTAGCATTAGGTTCAACAACTGAAATTGGAACAGATTCACCCGAGTCCTGGAATTGTACGTGATCAACATATCGGTTGTGTACTGGAACCACTAACATCTAGAATTTAAACCATAGATTTTCCAACATAATCCTCCCCCACAAAATAATGAAGGTCCTTATGTGTCAATGTTATGAAAATGTTGATGTTCTCAACTTGCTTTATATTTTCATATTTCACATTTCCACTATTATATGTGAGTGTTTTGGAATACACACTAGCATAATTTGATGCAATCCATCATGTGAATTTGACTTGCATAAAAATATGATACATATTCCTTTCGCTTTCCATATTGCAATACCCAAGCCCTCTGTTCCTGTTATCAGATTATTATACATAAATGTGTGTAATTAACATATAAGATTCATCTAGGCTTGATTCGCCTGCCAAACGATTAAATGGAAAATATGCGTCTACCTCGTACTCATTGGGATAATCTTGGATTTTATTTGAATTTTCTGTCTGTGCAAACTTCATATCTGTGCAAACCGGTTCTCTGACTGATTCGGAAAAACTTACTATTCCTCTGATCAATTATATCACTAACAGGGAATTCTACCCGACATACATCGGTTTTGAGAATATCCAACATCTGATACAATAACATCAGAAATGTGACCGGAATTCGACTCATTTGGAACATATTTGTCACATTCATTAGGAATGTCACGAGAGATAAACCCATTGTGAGGACAGATAACATGTGATGTGACATCATAAAGACTGTAATCAGATTCAGACTAACTTGGAGGTTTTCCCTCACATCTAATTAAGCTTTAAGTAGAAATAAATGAGTCATTAGCAAAAACCAAATCTCATAAAATAACATCACTCAACATATCTATCACATATTTGGAAATAATTTCATTAAAGTACATGAATTTTGGGAACAGCGCATACCTGGTAAAATAATATCAAAGATCTGATTAGAGTATCATTCATTTGAAACATTCGACTTAATAGGAGCGGAATTACAAACTTTAGCATTGATTGCAGCTAAATGAACAGTTTTAATACAAACTACCAGTATGTGTTCAATCTTACCAAATTTAAAGCATTAGGCATTACGAACTTCACATGACTTACATGAAGTAAATTCGCCAC